TTTCTGCATCTTCTAATCTGTTCCATTGATCCTTGGGTCTATTTTTTTCCAGTACTAACTGTTTTTATCACAGTAGCTTTGTAATATAATTCCAAGTCGGGAATTGGGATGCTCCTGACTTGTCTTTGTTGCTCAAAATTGCTTTTGCTATTCTAAGTCTCTTCTGGTTCCAAATGAAGTTTCTAAATGTTTTCTCTAGTTCTGTGAGGTATGCTAATGATATTTTAATTGGAATTGCATTAAACCCATATAATAGGTTTAGGGATATAGCTGAGCACCACATCACCTGCATGACAAGCAGGTCATGAGTTTGATACCTGCTACCAAAAATGACAAAAATCTGTATAACAGTTTTGGCAGTGTGGTCCTTCTCACTATGTTATTTCTTCCTATTCAGAAGCAAGGGACGTTTTCCCATTTTCTGATATCCTCTTTGATTTTCTTCTCCAGGGTATTGTAATTTTCACTGTATAGACCTTCTGCTTTGTTAGATTGATTCCTAAGTATTTCAATTTTTGGAATGCTATTGTGAAGGGCGCTGTTTCCCTTATTTCTCTCTATGTGTTTGTTGCTTATAAATAGGAATGCCATTGATTTCTGAATGTTGACTTTATATCCAGCTATATACTACTGGATTTGGTTATTAAATCTAGAAGTCTTTCGATGGTTTTTGGAGTCTTCTATGGAAAGGATCATGCAAATAATGATAATTTAACTTCTTTCTATCCATCATTATTCCTTTTATTTCTTTCTCTTATCTAATTGCTCTGGCTAATGTTTCCAGTACTGTATTGAATAGGAGTGGTGATAGTGGACATTCTTGTCTTGTTCCTCATTTTAGAGTGAAAGCTTTCAGGTTTTGATTATTTAGTATGATGTGAGAGTTCCACTATAAATTTCCCTTGTATGACTGCTTTCATTGTGTCCCTTAAGTTCTGGTATGTTATAGCAGCATTTTCATTTGATTGAAGGTACTAGTTAACTTCTTCTCCAGTTTCCTCTGTGGCCCATTGGTTAATTCTGAAGGATATCATTTTGATGAGTTTATGTAGTTTTTATGGTTTCTTTTGCTACTCATTTCCAATTGCATTACACAATGGTCAGATAATATGCATGGATGATTTCAATTCCTTTGCATTTACATAAGTGTGTTCTATGTGGTCTATTTTGGAGAACATCCCATGAGCAGCTGAATGTGAAGAATACACAAGACTGTGTATTCTTTTTTTGTCTTTTTCATTTTTATCAGTACCGGGGATCGAACTCACGACCGCCTACTTGCAAGGCAGGCACTTATGCTGCCGAAGAATGTGTATTCTTATGATGTGGGATAGAACACCCTGTCAACATCTAATAGGTCCCTTTGTTCACATTTGTTTTAATTCTGATTATTGCTTTGTTGATTTTTTCTCTGAATGATCTAATTGTAAAAGTGGGATTATAAGGTCTCCCATTATGATTGTAATAGAGCTTATTTGATTTTTCATGCCCATTAATATTTGTTTTATGTAGTTGGGTGCACCAGCTTTTATTTTCCATGGGAGATGGGGGCAAAATTGATACTTCAGTTTGCCAGTCTGAGTGCTGGAAGGGGCTGGTGTTGAGCTGTTCCCTGTCTGGTGGTGGCCTGAGCATGGTGCTGGTTCCCAGACTGGCTTGCTTCTTGGTATGGCTTTCTTCTTTCTCCCAGCAGCCCACAAGTGCTTCTGACTCATGGTGAGAGGCTTCTGTCTGGCTGTTCCCCGTCTGGCGGCAGCCCATGCATGATGCTGGTTCCCAGACTGGGCTTGCTCCTGATGTGGCTTGCTCTGTGGCCCCCAAGTCCACAAATGGTGCTGACTCACGGAAACAGGACTGAGTCTGGTTGTTTCTAGTACCGCGGCGACCCACACATCTCTTTATCAATTTTGAAAGATGGTTTTACAGGGTATATCCATCTTGGTTGGAGTTTTTATTTCCATCATTTTTCTAAATTGATTCACTCTTTTACCTGTATCTTCTCAAATATCTTTGATTTTAAGCATCATTTCTTTTTATACCTGAAATTATTTTCTCTGTAGCATTTTCCACTTGTTTTTACTTCTTTTGCTAATATTTCAAAGTTCCAATATTTGACTTCCATTTTTGTCTGTCTTATTGAGTTCCAGGCTTGTCCTGGGTGGGATGGGAGTCTGGGGTTACATTTTGCTTCTGCATCTTTTCCTGTTCCAATTTCTCTTTTTTTGTCTAGTTCTTTTTTTTTTCTTTTTCTTTTTTAAATTTTATTTTGAAGGTAGTAAAAATACAACAGAACTAGACAGAACAAAGGCAATCGAGACAATGCAGTGAAATTGGTACAGAACTTCACAGTAGGATACTGGGATGGTAGTAATAGGTACTATGGTATATCTCATTATCTTCACAATAGTTATCCAGTCAATTAGGTATAACAAAGTCAAACCAAAAACAGAACATTATAAAACCAATTGAGAGTATTGAATAGAGCAAACAAAAGAGTGAAAACAACCTTTCCCTTCAAACAGAAGATAGAAGGAAATCCCCCATATTTGCTATATTGCATATGGTCATCCTCCTAAGAGATGCTGAGACATCTATCCCCATTGCTAAGAGGGGAGGGGGTGGTGTTTGATTCTCAGCCCATGCTGGTAGGCTCACGGGAGCCACTTCTCCTGGCCCACACCGGGGCACTTACCAAAAGGGCAGGAGAATAAGCTGCCTAAGTCCCCTCACGGCTGGATCTCGGGAGCACTGGTTCTCCAGTTTCTCTTTTTTATTTTATTTTGTATTCTATGTTGATGCCTGCCAATTTCTTATGATAGCTTTATACTAGTATTGAGGTTTCCCTAGACGTAAAACTCCTCTTGTGTTCACAGTTCTGTGACAGTGTCCAAGACAGATCCCCAAAGTGTTCTCTGTACTCCAGCCAAGTTTTCCACAGGACTTTTGCTGGGTATGGAGCTGGCCTTGACCTCTGGCTATGGGGGCTGGGGCTGGTCTTCTGTTGTATTTGGTTTACCCTAACATTATCCATATAAATGGGTTTTTATGTCTTTCAGTGTTCAATCTCATCCTGTGTGTCTGTCTGTCTGTCTGTCTCTCTCTCTCTCTCTCTCTCTCTCTCACACACACACACACAGAGTCACCCTCTAGCACACAAGCAGAAGCAGCAGTGATGGTGGGAAAGCAATTAGGTCTCTTCCATTGCTTCTATTTTCCTTAACAACTAGGATGCAAGGTCCCCATTTGAGGGTGAAGTTTTGAGAAGAGGATTTCCCCCACACTTTTTATCAGTACACGCTGGTTATACAGGCGAGCAGGTTTCACTTTGGTAGATTCATACGTATACACAACATGCTTTGGTCATTTTCAGCCACAGAGCACCCCCTTGCCTGTCCTCCCTAGTTTCACATCTGAGTGGGGGTCAAAGATTATGCTTTCATGATGTCTACCTATTAACCTCTCCAAAGAGGAGGCTTTGATGTTTGAGGGGGAAAAAATCTGAAAGTCTAAACTTTTAAAAAATGTGCCTATAATGAAGAGTGAAAAAAAAGCAAGCAAATATAATCACTGTCTCCCATTCTGTCAAAAGCAGTGTACCAGAGACCAGAGGGTAAGACACCCTTTCCCCCCAGACCCCACACCCCATGCATCCTGTGCTGTAGCATACAGAGACCCCTGAAAACAGCATCTGTAGGACTAACCAGGCCACTGGAGTGCTATTATCAGACTTCCTCACCCCCGCTGAAAACCAGGGTCCTAAAGGATCATCATGGGAGCTGTAGTTCTGAGGCTATGTTTAAAGGGGTGGGCATCTCCGCTCCTACAAGCCAAAGGAAGGCAGTCCTGGCTGCTGCTAAGCACATGAAAGTGAAGATGGTATCTTGTTCCCAAGCTGAATGGCTGCCAGGCAGTGTACACCTGACACTGACCCAGAAGACACGTATCCACCATGCAACAGGATCGGTGTGGTGACAGGGCTGGGACACAGGCTGGGGCAGCACTGTGGAGAGGGTGGCCAAGAGCCTGTACAGGCAGAGCAGGCTCATGCGGCAGGTTGTCTAAGATGGGTCTTCAAGGGTAAGGAAGAATTTACAAGGTGGAAAAAGAGAAAGAAGAACATCAAGAAATGAAAAAAGCAGAACAAGATGACTTGTTATTTGGGAAGACATCTCTTAGGAAGGCTCCAGACATGGCTCTCATTAGCAGCATTCATTTAGTGCATTGTGATTAGAGTTCACTGCGAGCTCAGCACCCTGCTGGTTCTGCCTGATAATAACAAAACTGGTAACATGTCGGGGACCATGAAAAGGGAAGTCCTGACAGCAGCCAGAAACTGCATCTGCCTAGACTTGAACAGATAAAATCCAGATAAAATTATTCAGTGCAACAAATTGAAACAGATGATAGATTTAAAGTACGGCAAGAGGTAGAATAGCCCAGTGTATCCTTCACTGTGCCGACCCCTGACATACAGCTTGTGCTGGAGAGCATCTCTGAGTCTGGTTTTCACAAAAGCAAGCCAAGAAGTACCAGGGAGTTAGCATCCTTAGCAATGATCTTCAACCAACGTACGATGGAAGTCACAGGTAAATATTTCAGGTCACCTGCTATCAGGTGGGACAAATCTGAGGTGTGTCTCAGGCAGAGGACACAGGGCGACGGAACCACGGCTACTCCTGCGGGACCCTGTTCATTCACACACCATGCGTTCTTCCTTCCCCTCGAGATCTCGCTTCCCCACTCTCCACAGGGGCTTCCCAGAATCACCTCGTCAATCAATTCCCTGCACTGAAATCTTTGTCTCAGAGTTCACGTGGTGTGGTGGGGGGCAGGGACCCAACTAAAGTAAATCAGGAAAAAAATCTTTCAAAACTATCAAAAATGAGGCTACAAGATTTCTAGCTTGGGAGGTGCTGGCCCCATCAACAAAGATAAAAGAGTTTGTTACAGCAAGAGGGATCGATTCAGTGAGAACAGGATGAGTCTGGGAAAAACTGACCTCAAGGTGCCTGGGGGACTTTTTATTCCAAAATTCCCTCCACACACAGTAAGATGCTTAACCATGAGATTGAGTAGAAAAGGGACTACACGGAAGAGGAAACCAAGAGAAACCACCCTCTTGTCTCCTAAAGGCTGATTACAGCGTCTTCATTGGACCCAAGAGAGTACAAAGCCCTGGCGGCCTTTTCCAGCCGCTCTCTATATTCCAGCTTCTCATAGTTGGAAGGACTCACTCCTTTAAAGCCATGCATAGCCCCCCACCAGCACCCGGCAATGGCTGCGGTAGAGTCACTGTCCCCACCGTGGAAAAAGGCATGGTGGGCAAGCTTCTTCCATGAGTCCCCGGCAGCAAGTATGGCATCGTAGGCAATCATAGGGGCATCGTGCCCACTGCTGCCGCCCCAGCCAGAGTAGCTCAGGGAGGTGTAGAACTGATCCCTCTCCTTCACATCAAAAGCTTGTGGGAAGACAGGGGCTGACTTGCCATCCAAAATTCCTCTAAGTTTCAGGTACTTTTCCCACTGATCTTGGAAGTAGGACCTGTAGGAAAGAAAAACTCACAGTCAACTGAGAAACTAAACTCAAAACCCATAAGGAAAAAGTACCAGGTAGGTATGGGAAAAGAAAATTCTGTGGTGACGTGTTCTTAGACTAGTATCATAAATTGGACACACAAAAATCAAAATTAGATCTAAGTTCTACTCAGTTAATAAATCTTTGCTAAGCATCTACATAGTGCCTTCGCTGCTAAATAAAGAAAATAAGTATCAAGTTAAACTGTAGGAAATAAAGGTTTAGTTTTCCTAGGTTGAGAGTGAAGTCAAGTGTTATCTTTCTAGGGGCAGGTTTAGCACCTCACTGCCAAGAATGACTTCAGCAGAACACCTCTGGACCTTTTGATTCTGAGAAAGAGAACATGAAGTAAACTCACCCAAAGGGGATGATGTGGCCTTGGTGCTTATTAATTAGCCAGTGGGGGAAAAAAATCTATCCCTAAGGCATTCTGAGTGAGGATTTCAAAACGCTATTTGTATGTCTAGACAATACTGGAAAAGTAAGTTAAACAGAAGTAGGAAATAACTGAGAAAGCTCATCTGGGAACATAGCTTAGAATAGCCACAAAACTACAGAAAGCTGGAGCACAGACAGGACTCCTCAATGGCGTTACAGTAATGCTATTCATTGGGCTCCACTTGGTTAAATGGAGGAGCCATGGAGAGGAACTCGAAATCCTTAGCAGGGTGGTGAGGCAGGGGCTGGCTGGAGAGAACCGGAGCAGCTGCTGTGACCTCTGAATCCTTGTGCATGTGTGTAATGCATTTGCGCACAGATTCACCACAGCCCCGTGGGGCAGGCACTTGCACACTCACCAGTGTTCAAGGTTCTCCTCCACGAAGTAGCCTGATTGGACGATGTAATCTTTAGCTGCCGGCAGGACCTCCATCAGCCCTTTGCCCCATTCCCAGGGCGGCCTGCCATTCACAGCGTAGGCTGTGAAAAGAGCAGACGCGAGGGCCCCCAGGTAGCCTGTAGGGTGGTGATGGGTCATTCGGCCGCTCTCAATGCTCACGTGGATCAGTGTGTCCAGCTGGCTGAGGTGAGGAAACCTGAGACCAATGCACATGGCCCGCATGGCAGCCCCGCAGCCACCTTCATGGGTGTTAAAGGGAATCCTCCAGCCATTGGCCTTGTCCGGCTCCAGCCTCATGCTGTTGTGCACTGAGGTATCCCCTAGGAAAGAGTCGGTGGGGCGGGCAGAGGTGAGAGTGTGGGTCAGTGTCACCAAACCAAAAGCCCCAGCTGGAAGAAGGAACTAACCTGTATCTCCAAATTTCTCCACTAGAAAGCAAAAGCCAGGCAAATACTGATTACAGTGCCTCAATCGAACACCATGTCTTCCTTTATGTCCAAAGCATGATGACATTCACTTAAAATAGCGAAGGGAGAGACAAGGAATCTTTACCACTTATTAGAGGCATCCAAGTCAAAAAAATAAATATAATAATGCATTATTCTCTTTCTTAAATGAATAAGGCTCAGAGGCTAAGAAACTTGCTCAAGATCATATAACCAGCGAGTTAGTATCCTGGCAAAAATAAGTCAGACTCTAAAGCCCAAACCCAAGCCCTTAAAGAGGCCAATAAGAAGCTGGAGTTCCTGGGTATTAGAAAAAAGCCAGTCTAGAGTAAAGTCCGGGACTCGGGTAAAGAGCTATGAACCTGGGCTCTTCCTGTGTGAATCCCATGGAGGCTTTGTACCGGGGAGCGCACGCCAGGGAGGGGACAGTACCGTTCCCTTAGTGGGACAGTTCGTACATAACAACATCCATGGGCATAGGCACAGATAGAGAACATTTTCTAGGTGCCAAGCTGAGGAGATATCAGATGTCAAGGAGACAGGAACTGGCTTCCTTCGGGTTATGAGAAGCCCCTGGGTATGGGGGTGAGGGGTGTCTTGTCATCAGGAGGTGTTCTAGGCTGAACTGCATCCTCCCAACTTTCTAGGTTGAAGCCCCAATCCCACTACTTCAACCGGCAGACAAAGGCCTCTCAGGAGGTGAGAAAGCTAAACTGAGGCCTCATCCAATCTGACCTGCACCCTAGTGATATGAGGGACAGGAACAGAAAGCCACCAAGAATCCACGCGTGCGCGCACACACACACACACATGCACCAGCAAAACCACATGAGGACAGCACAAGAAAGTGGACACCTGCAAGCCAAGGAGACAGACTTCGGGATAAACCCTGCTAACGTGTTGATCTACACTTTTAAAAACCTGAGCTGTCAGAAAGTAAACAACAGTTGGTTAAGCCACACAATCTATGGTGCCTGCTGTAATAACTAACTAATACAAGTGAAGAGGTCGGTCAAATGGGCAGGGAAAGGTGATTCAGAGGATAGTAATAAGTTCTCAAAGTGGGCAAGAACCACTTGCAAGCAGAGACAAGGTCAGAAGAGGTGTAACTACAGGACACTCTCCATTCCTCTGTTTCCCTCTTCCTCCCTTTCTTCCATTTCTTTTCTTTTCTCTTTTCTTTCTTTCTTTTTTTTTTTTTTTTTTTTTGGTACCGGAGACTGACTCCAGGCCTTTGTACTAAGATATATCTACAGCCCCTCCTCTTTCTTTAGTTTGTATTTTGACACAGGGTCTCACTAAGTTGCCAAGTTTCCCAGCTGGGTTTGACTTGTGATCCTCCTGCCTGAGGCTCCCAGCCTGCTGGGGTTATAGGCATGTGCCACCATGCTTGGCTCTTTTTGTTTTTCTTTTTATTTTAAAACAAGCATGTTTTCTTTACACACATTCGTTACCAACTAGAAAATACAAACAAATAAAAGGAAAATAAGCAACTATAAAGACTCCTAGCTGCTACATATCATTACTAACATTTTTGTGTATATTCTTATAGATAGCTCCCAATACAGAAGGATATATTTGTGCTGTAAGTGACAATGGGTTTATAACACAAATACTGTTTTTGAAATCTATCTGCTTTTTCACTTACTGTGTAACTTCCCACATCAGTAACCATTCAATCTGTATAACTTTACGTGATTTTCAGTGTGTCACCATAATTAAGTAAAATGATGGACATGTAAGTTGCGTCTATTTTTATCACAACTACAAACGCTAGTGTTTCCTTGACATTTAAATGCCCATCAGCATTCTTAATGATTTCCTTGGGCCTTTTTCCCTCCCTACCTGTCTGATCTCCCCCTGGCTGTGCTCACCTGGTGCCCGACCAGCCATGTCTTCCATGCAGTCCTGGTAATGCTTAGCAAAAAGCGAGTAGAGCCGAGCCAAGCTGGGTGCTTTCCCAGCTTGCAAGAGGGCCTCCGCTGTGGCCAGGTGCATCACCGTGTCGTCACTGACGCGCCACTGCTTCACATCTATGGCATCCAGGCCGCCCAGCTCCGCCAACTGCTGGTGTATCTTCTCCCCATCCCGCAGGAATTCCCACTTCCTGTTGAAGAACCCCAACGCGTCTCCAGCTGCGCTCAGCAACATGGCAGCCACATACCTCTCCATCAGGCCTCCACACATGCTGGGCTCCGAAGGGGTGGTCTGGGGGCAACTGAGAAAACTGAAAAAAAAGAATTAGAGGGAAAAAAAAGAATTAGAGAATTAGAGAAAAAAATTAGAGATTAGAAAATTAGAGAAAAAAAAAAGAAACCAAGAGCTCAACCTGCATCATACTGAGCACTCACTGCTATGCACTGTATTTAGTGATCCTCATTTAGCCCTCACGACCCCTCTATCACAGATTATTAGGCCCATCTTTATATGACCAAAATGAGAATCATGAAGGTAACAGTTTCAGAAATACAAAGTGTGCTGGGAAAATACATTGTTTAGATTTTAAAATTTTTTATTACAGTAAAAGACATATGGCCTTTAAACTTCCTCAAAATACAGCTTCAAGGGGCTGGGGATTTAGCTCAGCAGCATAAGTACCTGCCTTGCAAGCAGGCAGTCGAGAGTTCGATCCCTAGTACCGATAAAAAAAAAAATACAGCTTCAAACACACTTTTCCCCTTGTTCTAGTCATTTCCTAAAGCAATTCTAGAAGTTTGCTTTTGTGAGTGTCTTTATGAAGTGTGATTTAGAAAAATTAGGTGAATGCAGCTACTGAACGCAGGCTATGAAAACACTGCAGTGTCATCTGCTTTACTTGCTGGATTTGACACCACATAACTTCGGGCTCTCCTCTCAAGGAAAAAGGGCCATGAAAGGCAAACATTTTAAATCCATTCAGGAAATAAGGCAGCCGTGTCGGCCTAACTAAAGACACTCACCAAAGAGGATTTCCAGAACTGCCTCCAAAAGTGGCACAAACAATGGGGTCAGTGTGTTGGAGATATTTCGACAAAGTCTTTTATGTTCATAAAATTTTTAAAAATTTAAACGTTCATTGCATTTTCAATCACCTCTCAAGGGAGTCCACAAGCAGTGGAGCCAAGATTCCAACCTAAGTCTACCCGATTCCCAAGACCAAAAATCACGGCCCTGTCTTTGCCTCGTTCAATCCTGCTAATCAATCCAAACGCATTATCTTTTCTTTGCAGCTGAGGTTTGGCCTTGGAAGAGCACCCCTCTTTTATGTAAATAGAAAACCTGCTAGTGGTGATCACTGTGCAATCTACAAAGCACCTGCACATAGGCTGTTTCAGCAGCAGGCAGGGATTACAATATGCATTTCACAGACCAAAATCCTGCAGTGCAGAGAGGCTCCATTCGCACCATCAGAGTGAAGTCCTTAGGCTCTGAATCCTACCGGTGTTTGGTGTGACCCCTCTCGGTCTAGCCTTTGGGCAGCTTCTCAACCTCCCAACCCATAAAATGGTGATGTCACTTTTTAATGTTTTTATTTTATTTATTTTTTTTTATTTATTGCAGTGTTTGTGCTTGAGCCTAGGACTTTATGCATGCAAGGCAAGTGCATAAAGTGGATTGTGAGTAGTAAATAAATTAATTTTCATAAAACACTAGTGCAGGCACATTAAGAACGTCTATTTTTGTCAAGATTTTTATTATCCATACACAAATCAGGGGAAATGGTCTATTTTTGAACTAGAATACTTTCTCCCCACAACCTTCCCTTCAACTAATATTTAGATCTCATTTTCTTTTTCAGTGACAGAGATCTTGTGTGCTGTGATCTTGGTGAACACACTCACCTCACTTTAAAGCCCTAGTAAAGTGCTGGCTTCCCAAGAGCCCTCTCCTTCAGCCAGCTCCCAGCCTTTCTCCCTGCGGCTTCATATCAAAGCCCTCTACTTACACTTGCAAGGAGCCACGCACAGTTTACTCTCCCCTCTGCTCAAGCTCTTTCCCCAAAGACTGCCTTCCGAGTCCCCCTTGCCTTAATCCTGTTTTCTCAGGGTTTGGTGCCAGGGGCAGGCTATCTGGAGTCTCTCTCCAGCTGGCCTGCTCTGGCACCATAGGCTGGCGAGCCTCTGCAGCGACTCACAGAGATGGACTCTGCATTCCAATATCCAGGTCCCGATCATGCTGAGCTTAAGGGTATTCAGTAACTGCAGCTCTGTACTTTAGGTCTCTATACCTGACTGCCACAAATTAGTTACGTATCTGTGAACACGCCACCCACGCTTGAGCTTCTATTTTCCGATCAACACACACACACACACACACACACACACACACACACACACACACACACAAGCGCGTAGCACCTCGGCTTCCTCTCCGGCTCCACCTCTTTTTTTTTTTTTTTTTTTTTTTTTTGTCGTTTTGAGACAGGGTCTGTAGTTCAGATTGGCCTTGGGCTCACTTTGTAACCCAGGCTGGTCTCGAACTGGCAGCGATCCTCCTGCCTCAGCCTCCCGAGTGCTGGGATTACAGGCGTGCACCACCATGCCCTTTAAAGCAATGTTTTAGGGGCTTGGCGAGTTTGCCGGGGAGGTAGAGGTAAAAGACAAGCGCGAGCCAGGAAGGAGGTTACCTGGTCTGCACCGAGAGGAGAAGAGCAGGGGCCGGGGCGGACGGGGGCGTCGGGGGCGCGGAGGCGGCAGGCGCGCAGGGGCGGCGCCGGTGCACCCTGCTGCACGGCCAGTTCCGCTGAGCGCCGCCACGCCCCATGCAAGCTGCCGGTGGGGGGGGGGGGGCCTGCCTGCCGCTGCAGCGCCCTCGCCAGGCCCCGCCCTGCGGACCAGGAGGAGGACCTGCTTCTTGCAGCGATCGGGAGAGCGAGGTGGTGGGTGGCGCTGTCGTTTGGCAGTCTTTAGGGAGGAGCACCCTAAAGTGTTAATGGCAAAAAATAGAAAATGTGAAGAAGTGTGGGTTTCCTTCCGTGATTTAGGGTGTTAACCACGGGAGTGTTTAAAGCCGGGTAGTAGACGTGGATGTGCTTCCTGGAGCTTATGTAAATAGAAAACCTGGAGCTTGGACACGTTTTGTTAGGAAGAGAGAAGTCAAAGTTTAGAATGATGAGTATCCATGCAGTTTCGTGTTTATAGAGTAGAGGTCTCTGTGTATGTGTGTGTACACTGGATAGAAGGGCAGACACCAAGTTGTTAATGATTATGATCACCTCAGGATGGGAACACGAGGGATTGCTGAATAGGAAGAAAAATAAAGGAAATGTTTGATCGTTGATAGTACTTTCGGTATTGTGTGCATAAAGACACTTTAGAAAGCACAGAAAGCCGCAGCACCACGAGGCTCATAGGCCTACAGGCCTTGTATGTGTTTTGGTGGGGAGACAAAAGCAGGGTCACTTTGCAAATACATTTTTATATCCTTTAAAAAAGCTACTTAACCTTTCAATTACTATAATTAATCCCAAATGTTCAAAGAAGTTAATACTTTTACAATAAACTTTATTCCAATTTGATACAAAAATGTAGGAGGGCCTGATGCTCAGCTCTTTTCTGATCACACCATGAACGCTAAATGAACACTATTGTTTGAAAAGAGGTAAAACGTATAGCTGAAAGCCAGGTGGTTCAAGGCATCTCTGACACACAGGCGTGAATGCATCACATCATGACTGCTCGATAAGAAGAGCAAAACAGGGCAGGGTGGGTGGAGGCCACAGGAAACGGTTAATTGGCAGGGCCCCTTAGACTCTAGCAGAGAGCAGACTAGCCACGAAATAACTAGATTCAAGAAAGACCTGTCACAGAGGAATTTGTTAAAATGAATGAAGACTGGGAGAAAACAGAGGACAACTAGTCCCAGAGAACCAAAAGCACATATTCAAAAAGACTCCAACATCTGGATGGCTGATTCTACACATCACCTTGGTTCGACCACAGGATCCAGATGTTTGTCCAAAGGCTACTGCAGATTGTCTCTGAAGGTATTTTAAAAATGAGGTTAACATTCACATCAATAGACTTCTGTGTTGAGCAGGTTACCCTCCACAGTGTGTTTGGGTATCATTCAGTCAATTGGAAGCCTCAACCAAAAAGATTAGCTTCTCCTGGCAAGGAGGGAATTGAGCCATCCCTGGGTCTCAGGCTGCCAGCCCACCTTCACATTTCGAACTTGCCAATTCCTTAAAGATCCCCCACCCACCCAGCATCAAGGTGTCCAGAGAAAATTATAATTGAGCTGAGTTTTGGAAACTATTAGGAAGGGAACTAAAATTGCATAGCCCAGAAGTAACCCAAGACACTGGTCTGCAAGAGTGGCGGATTCAAAAGAAAAAGGCGAAACCCAGATGCAGGCTTAGGTTTGCCTTTCCTCACTGAATGACTCCCAGCTGAGGGCCAGGCTGAGTTGCAAAAGTACATCATAAACTTTCTCATTTCCTCTCTCACCGAGTGATCTCAAACCATCTCTAAAGACTGAAGATTTTAAAAAGGACCAGAAGATTGGCTCACCAAAGAAAATGAGACTGCCTCTAAGAGGACTTCAAAAACAATACAGCACATATGCACAGAAGAGCAAAGTTTAAGTCATCCAATGCCAGCCTGTCACTTTCTGCTGAGGAAACTGAGGCAGGTGCAGAGCATTCCTCAGAGTTTGTGTCACTCAGTTACATAAAGAGAAGCAGGCCTGGAACCGTGGTCCCCCAGCCAGGACTTTTTCTTTTCTGTTTGAGACAGGGGCTCACCATGCAGCTCAGGCTGGCCTTGAGCTCACTTTGTAGCCCAGGCTGGAACTCACAATAATCCACCTGCCTCAGCTTCCCACCTGCTGAGATTACAGGCTTGGGCCACCGAGCCTGGCTTCCAGCCAGGACTTCTACCATTGTCCATACTGCCACTTTGAAAAAATGCAAAGTGATTTGTGTATTAAATGTTAATTTCATTAAAGATGTGAAGCCCAGTTTTGAAGTATCCTGTGTCTCCCCAAAAGAGACTTAAACCTCTGCCTGATGACTGTGTAAAATTAGTGTTTATAGAAAAATCTCAGACCCTGCAATTCTATAGGTAGTAATAAAATAGAAGGCACTTTATGGAGAGGTGCAGAAGAGGTTGTTGAGTATATATTGATGTTTAAGAAGCTGGGAGTGGCTGTTAGCCCCTCTACGTAGCACAAAAAGTGCCTTCCCCAGGGCAGTAGCCTGATTGAGTAGGTCATGGCTTTCCAATCTTCAGGGTAAAGCTGAAGTCTTTAGTACACTTCTAACCAATGGTCTTGACTCCTCTCTTTCTCGTGGTCTTCCTGGGATTTCTCACAAGGAAAGAAGCTCAGGGGCCTCCCTCTGACTCTGAGAGCCACCTCTGAAGCTCGGGACAGACATTGGATGCTGCAGTCCACAGCCCCAAACCAAGGGACTTCACTGCATAGTGGACTGTCAATGAATTAAAATAATACCACATCCAGGAAATGAAAAGTACTTCTCCAATCAAATAGTGGGGAGAGCTTTGTGGAAGACACTCTCTTCCAACAGTCCCTCTGTTGGAGTCAGCCTGGCCTGACCTATATCAGTCTGCTCTCATTTCTGTTTCCAGAAGAGTCTTGGGGACAAGGGGTCAAAAATAGAACCAAAGAACACTCAGTTGATCTTGCCTTCCCAGACAACCCTTCTCCCTCTGAGGTGTCAGTCCCCATCCTGTGGTTTCTGCTACATCTTCATAAAGTTGCTCTTTGGGGAGAGTCCCTGAAGCTTAGAGTGGTATCCAGACGTACACAACCAGTGACCGGCAACAGCGGGCAGTTCAGGCAGGTTTCCCACTTGTGTCTGGACCCAGCTTCCTCCAAGTGGTCACAGATGATTCAGCTCAAGGCTCCGGAGATACTGAATGTGAACAAAAGTGGAGAAGGCTCTCAGTCCTCGCAGGTCCCTTGTGCTGTGCTTGTTGCAGATGTGGGGCCTTCGCCAGAGCCTCTCACAGGGTCAGGTGCCAGCTGTGTCCACATAAGTTGTGCTCTAAATGCTGCATTTCTAGGAAGGGTTGGTAAAGGGGAAATTCCCTTTTCCCCATCAAGCCATGCCGTTTCTCTTTAATTCGAAGAACCGAATTACATTCTCCTTTTCTTGAAATCTAGAAACCGTGCCCTTCTGTTAAAGATAGTTGTTTTGTGAGTAAGAAATAAATGGTAATTATCTGGTTTATTTTTCAGGAAGGAAGAAGGAGAGGAGAAAAGAGCTCACTTCATTTTCAGAATGGATCATAGCCTCGTGAGTCTGAACAGCAAGTCCCAGCTGCCGTTCAATCCCAGGAGACTGTGGCCAGAAGACAGTGACGTGCTCCCATCATGCCCACTCCGTCCTACCTCGACAGCATGCAGATACCTCTGACTTTCTCTCACTATCTGACCATCGTCTTCTCTGTTTCTCAGTGAAAATGAAATAGAAAACTGAAAAGAGTGACTTGTAGTTTCATTGGATTTTGTAGACTAGGGGTGAGGGGTGGCAGCCAATGGCAATAGTGACCCTTAATGCCTCAAGTCCTGGAATCATGGTTTGCCAGGGTTCCAAGGCAGGCAAGAAATTCCAGGTCTTGTGGATATACAACCTTTCCTTCTTTCCTCTTTGTTTGTTTTTTCCTCTACATCTCAATATGTCCCCTCATACTAGAAATTTTAAAACCCAGGCCTTCATGCAGGCTAGGCAAGTGCTCTGTCACTGAGCTACATCCCCAGGCCACTGTTCCATCTTAAAGTATCAGAAGGATCAGGCCGCAAAACTCTGCAACTTTATTGAAAAGTTCCGTTTCCCAATGTAACCACAAAAGTTCTTCCTTAAACACAGTCAAAATTTCTCTTCTTGCTTTAATTTCAAGTGATTGCCTCCCACTTGGTTGTGCAATACAAGCTCTTACACACACACACACACACACACACACACACACACACACACACAGAAACACCTCAGGGCAGTGCCATATCATTGCCAACAAAATGATGGCCGGAACAAGGATCTCAACTTTCCCTTTTTCTATTTTCTAGATTGCCCAGTTTAGCACTGCCTTAGTTACTTTTCTTGTTGCTGGGGCAAAATGCCCAACACCTAAAATTAAAAGAAGACAGGTTTATTTAGCTCACAGTTTGTAGGAATTTCAGTCCAGAGTTGTCTGGCTCGAAGGCAGGGTGACGTGGCACAGGGCAGCAGGTCATGGTGGTGGAAAACACTAAAGTAACAGGAGAGGAGTAGGGACAGATCTTTTTTATAGAGAAGCGCTCTACCACTGAGCTGCATCCCTAGCCCTGACAAACCTTTATGTCCCTTATATTATACACAAGCTACACACCATAGGATAGGTATAGCACTTATACCCTTAATTTCAGCATTGGACCAAGAATCAATCATAAACTCTAGATTCAGCTGCCTCCAATAAACCTGGTTCCCATGATCATATGAGGCTTTGGGGGGCATCTAGACACAAACCATAACAGCATCTTTTTTGCTATTGTTTGTTGCTTTTCTCTGAACCTTTCTGTTTCTACATTTAGTTTGAACCTGGATATAATATTTCAGTATAAATCTAGGTTCAGAAATATTTCTAAATATTATTTAGAAGTAATCTGCAGAGTCATAGTTCTACCTCGCAATGTCTGGCTGGCATTTTACTGCAGACTTGTGTTTGGATAGTTGTCCTGGACTTTTTCTTCCGCTGTTTGTTTTTCTTTTCCTTTGGATCTGTCCATGTAGGCTCATCTTTCCTTGTCTAGCCATCTTTGCATCCCTAGTACTAAGCACTGCTCCAGGCACACAAGGGCACTCAGTAAATTTGGGAGAATTGTAGTGGTGCAGATATTAAGAATTCAGAGTCAAGAGAGGGCAGACAGGGAGTAGAAAGTTCTGCTTCAGGAAGTGGCCTTAAGTCTGGTTCCTTAAGGAAGATGGATGTTTGATGGACAGAGAGAAAGGAGAAAGGATATCTCTGCAGCTCATTATTAAAGATTTGTGGCAAGAAGGGGCAGAGTCAACTATAGGACAGAAAGCGGGAACAGGCAATGTAAAGAGAGTCCTCAGTTGAATGGGGTTAGCTCTGAGTGTCCGCTTCTCTTTTCATTTTAAGCATTTTGGTGATTTCTATTTCGAAAAACCAGATAGAGTGTGACAGTATTGTAAGAGGAAGAAAAGAGTGACCAGTGCTCTCTGCCAGATTATCCAACTGTGGCACTACCAGGAGGCACTGTGGTCTTGACGCGTAACCACTTGAGGCTGGGTGCAGGCCTCAAAGACGTGGCTGGGTCAAAGGTAGTATTTCCACATGCCTGGAATCCCAGCACTCTGGGAGGTTGAGGAAGATGGATTGTAAACTTGAATTCAGCCTAGGCAATGTAGTGAAAGCCTACTGGCCCTAGGTGAAATCCCCAGGTATGCAAAGGTGCCAGGCTCATCCTCCTCTGAGATGCCGTAGGGCACTGGCCATGTTTGTCTGGAAACTGACCACAGCTTCTTGTGATTTTCACCACTTATGACCACAGTCATGCCCCCAGCTGCCACGGGAAGACTGCATTCAAAATGAAAAGTAAACCACCACCATCACCCCGAAATGTCTCATCAATGCATTGGTGAGTTTTGTTCCTTGGGCAACAGTGATCCCCTGTAGAAAAGGACTGCCCCGTCTGCTCAGTCCCAGCACCCGGGACCCTAAACACTAAATGTGCAAAACAGTGGAACCCTCGAGGATCCAAAGGCCTCTACCCATGGACTCAGCCTAGCTTTCTAAGCACAAGGAAGTGGAGCATCCCAAGGGTACAGCAAGACAGGAAACAGCAAGCGTTATCTGCAGAGCCGCCATTCTGCAGGTTCGAAACCCCAAGGCTTCCCGAGAGATGAGGCCGTGTCTCCCCTTGGTCATGCCTTCTGCCGGGGCCCTCTCCATTCACCCAGTCTGGGACATCTTTGTGTTTTATTTGTAGCATCTTTCATTGTATAAAATATTTTTACTACTGATAAATCAACTTTAGGTATGTTTCTTTTTTTTTTTCTGGTTTCCAGGTTTTGTATCTTACTCTCTCACCCTAGAATTATAAAAATTCTCCAAAACAATAGAATTAAAAAATTAAAAAGTCTCTCATAAACATACCTTCAGTTTTTCCTTAAAACTTTAAAGCGTAATTTCTTTTGCTTTTTACTAAAGTAAAACTGCGTGGATTTAAAAGGTCAATGAGGCTGAAGAAGTTACACCGAGAACCAGCAGAACCACTCTGTCCCTGTCTAGCCGCAGGCCTGCTCTCCACCAAAAAACTTTTTTTTACTGTTCCAGACACTTTTTCCTTCTGATCATGCAGCACCTCAGGCCTTGGTTCCTTTTATCCTGCCGCACCCATCATCGCCCTCTGCTTTGTAGTCTCCGGAAGTGTACCCCGGAAGTCTTTGCTCCACAGATTATTCCATTCTCTTTATAACTAAGACACATCTTTCATTTTTAAAATATTAATTTAGTGAGAACTCAGGAGAGAAGGGAATTCAGCACACCTTGTTAGTGTCAGGTCTTGGAAGAGAAGCCTCCCATGCCTTGCAACCAGGAGCCTATTTTATAACCAGACACCAGCAGAGGGTGTCCTGTGTGATGTGCCACAGCTGTAAAGTTCTTGCCCTGTGACCTTTCCTGCAGGTCTCTCTGCTTAATTCACACCGAGGTGCTAATAGCACAGTTTGTTCAATCTGTGCTTCTCCAGAACAGGTAAGAATTTTACTGGAACTCTTAAAACTTGAGTGTATCTTGTATTCTTCCAATTTTTTGGCTCATCTATCCCCAAATAAAATCCATAAAACTATATATTTCTTGGCTGGTTTTCAAGTGAACATTTGTAACTTTGTATTCCTTTAAGTATCTGCAAAGGATGTGATTTCCAGTTTGATATAATAGTGTCATGTTTTGAAAAAAGTTGCATGGCTCGTAAATGTACTCATTAGAAGTGAAAGTGTCACACACTGGCGAAAATCAAGAGAAAGCATTTCTTCTAAGGTCTAGATCCATATTTAAAAAGCTAAAAAACAAACTTATCTCTGATATTGATACTTTTTACTTGAAAATGAATTGTTGATCTATTAGAGTTAGGGTGCAGGTTATTGTATCCATCCTCCTTGTGATTATTCAAATTCTGCAGCTGAGCCCAGACCAAGACACTGGTAAAGGAGGATACTCACCGCGGCTCTTCTCCGAAGGGAGAAAGTGGAGGAGCAGCGAGCTGAGGTCCCAGCAGGTTTTGTTCATCTGCATTCAAAGATTAAAAATCCCTAATCTGAGGTGGACAGAGCTTGTGTGCTTCCTGCTGCTCTCTTTGCTTTTTTTCTGACTGCTGTCAGTGGGACAATGTTTCTGACAAGACCCAGGAATTAGGGAGCAAAGTTCAGGAAATAAAAGGTGACATCACTCCCACAGCACCATCCCACAATGCATCTCTTCCTCATGCCACATTGCAACAAATAGAAACTGACGAGATTGGAGGGCGCCACGCCTTACCTCGCACTTTTTCTAAGGAGACTACATTGATTAGAGCACTTGTGTCTCGAATTGCTCCTTTACTTGACTTGCTGAAGTATTTTAGTTTCCAGAGCACTGCTCCTCAATAAAGGGGTAAGTCAGGGGTAAGCTTTTCTTTTCAAATAGGGAAGTCAAAATCCTTGTCACTGTGAGTAAGTTTTAGGAATGTGGAAAAAAAAAAAGGTGACAATCTGGAATTGATTAACAAGATCAGTGCATTATACCTTTGAAAATGTCAGTTCCCACAGGGATCCAGGTACCCAGTGACTGCATCTTGTGGCCAGGAAGGATGCACACCGCAAGCTTCAGGCTGGAAAAGTGGTGCTCGGGATGTGCATCTGCACATCGTCTACTCTCCACCACTTTTTCTCACATACAATTTATCCTAATTGCAGCCAGTGGTTTGCAGAGGCTTAGGCGGCCTCTCAGCTTGATGAGAGTCAGCACAGTCCTGCTTGGGAATGCCTTTATTTTTTTTCCTTTCCTTCCATTAGGGTGATGTGCACTGTTCCCTGCCCTAGGGATACTCCCAGGCTTCACAACTCTGTCATTCTTTCTGCTTGGCTTTTCATTTCATGAGATCTCAGTGCCTTTCAGTACCACTGAGAAATGCTGGATGGATAGAGGCTTAGATTGTGTTCCCTTCCTCCTCAGGAAAATGTGTTTTCTAACAGATTTAGTTGAAAAATTTAGATGCTTCAGGGCTGGGGATTTAGTTCAGTGGCATAAGCACTTGCCTGGCAAGTATGAGGTCCTGAGTTCAATCCCCAGTACCTAAAAAATAAAATTATAAAAAACTTAGATGTTTCTATAGCATATTCACCATGTGTATGTACTGTTTCTACTATTGTTTATCTCTCTTTTTTCTTCTTCTCTAAATTCACATTATTAGTTCCACAAATATACTTTACAAGGAAAATTATTATGTCTCTTACTATAGCAAGCACCGTGTTTGCCCTGGATTCTCTGGAAGGCACAGCTAGAGACACAGACCTAAATGATACTGTTTATTTGGCAACTCGAGATCAGTAATGGAGGACAAAGAATGAGAGTGGGAAGGAGAGAGAGTTGGTACAAGACACCTTACCGTGCTGCAGCAGTGGGTGCCTGACCCCTCGGATTCCAGGGAGCCCCTTGGATGTCTCCGAATGCTCCACGAGGGTGATACAATGGGGAAGTAGTTATCTACCCACTTCCAGCCAGCTTTGCTCCAGGCCATCAGCACTGGCTTCCCTGAATTTCTGAGTTCCAACTGCTTGCACGCAGAACTTCCAAGGGTCAAGGCAACCAAATAGCTCTGGGTGGAACCAGAGGAGGACAAGAGAGTTACAGGTGCAGTGAGGGGCCGTCCAGTTCTTCCTGTGCTAGAAGGTACACTGGCCCGAAGGCTCACCTGCTTGTCTGTGCTCCCATCAAATCTCCATGCAGGCTGGTGGGCTGGGTGGAAAGAGGGGTGATGGAGGGATGAAATCTTTCCCTTTGAGTGCTGTCATCGAGCTCACCCAAAGCGCACTCAACTGCTGCTTCTGGAAAGATGGCAGGAAGGGGCTGGTTGTGCTGTTAAGGGTGCTCTAGGACCTAAGGGTGCTCTAAAGCATCCACTACATATACAGTACATGGCTTCCTCACACAGTTGCCTGCCAGAGACTCCAAAGGAATAACAATGGCTATAAAAACAAATTTTATTGTTTTGTATTAACTTATTGTGTGTGAAGATATGGACAACTATTTCAAAGAAAACAAATGTTATGGTAGCCACTGTTGATTTCCCACTGTCTTGTCTTGAAGTTCTGTGTTGTTTCGCTCTGATCTATTTTCTTCTGTTTTGTTTCAGTTTGCTTTGTTTCATTTTATTCTTTTTAAAGCAAAAAAAAAAATGTGAAAGCTGGCATCATGGCACATGCAGGGTGGTGGTAGGAATCCAATGCTACCCAGCAGGCTATAGCAAGAGGACCACAAGTCTGGGGTTAATCTGGGCAACTAAGACCCTGTCTCAAAATAAAAACAATGTAAAGAACTGAAAATGTAACGCTGAGCTTTATAAGTTCAGTAACCGGCACCAAACAAGGTGAACAAACAAAAATCTGAGGCCAGCACCAACAGGTAGCCCATAAAACCCACACTCACTGCCAGGCAGAGCTGGTGGGCCCCTCCCTCTGCTGGGCGCCTTTTCTCCTTGCCTCTCCCAAGTGCCACTGCACCCAGCACCTTTGTTCCTTAGGGCAGTGGTAAAGAGGACTTGCTGTGACTTGCCCGGGCCACACCCTCAGAGGAGGTGACAGAGGGCTCAGAGCAGAGAGCTTCCTCAACCCTGACAGCATTCTACAGGGCCCTGAAATTGACGGAAATGTTTCTGAGTGAACTCAAATCCTCAAATCCAAAGTAAAGGGGAAGTAAGAAGAGAGAAATGCTACCTCTCTGCTGAATTACTTGTCATTAGTCTGCAGACAGCAAGAAGAGAACATCCCCAAAGCGGAGCATCAGCCTCTGATTTTTAACATAAAAGAAAAAGGAGGTTTTCTTCCAAAAGTAAGTAAATCTACTCTGAGCTTGTTATAGGATAACTTGGTAGAGCTATTTACTAACAAAAATAACTGCTTTCCCCCGCTGCTTTGGTACTAGACGTGAGCACACCAAGAAAACACTCTACTACTGAGCTACTTCCTCAATGCTTTTTATATTTTGAGGCAAGGTTTCACTAAACTGTGCTGTCTACACCTAAACTTGTTATTCTCCTGCCTCGGTGTCCCAGGGAGCTGGGATTACCACTGTCCACCCAGAAACCCCTTTCTAAACAAACATACCATCCCTCTACGGTGCACACTTCCCCTCAGAGGCGTCTTCTGAGGCGTCTTATTCCCAAAGTAGGCGGTGGGTTCCTGGTATCTTTAGAAAATTACTATCAGAATTGTGGCTCGTTACTTTTAAATTTCCTAGATGGTAGCAAATATTTTTTGTAGACAGTTTGAGTTTTTCCAGCCAATATAATTCTGGTGGTGAAGTCCTTCTGAGCTCTTTGTGATTAAGATGGACCATTACTAATGAAACAGTCTGTCTGGTGTGACTGGAACCTTTACTCTGGGGCAGCTCCCGAGGGTGTCCACGCATCTGGGGAGCTCTGAATTTGGTGACTGGTGGCTGACTCACAAAAGCGGTGATAGGAGAGCACAGCATTCATTTTCATTTTTCAATATTAATATCGCTACCAGGGAAAAAACAGCCTCTTCACATTACACCAAATAATACAAGTATGGGCTCCATGTGTTTTTTCTTGCCTCCCTTTTTACTGATAAATGTCTTCTTTTCTCTGACATCCTCTACCCCAGTTAGTTCCCTCATTTTGAGTTGAGGTTTTAAGAATCGAGGTCCTGGCTTTCCTGGGTTACATATACTGAGAAAGTTTTCAAAACTTAATGACTGCCTTGGACAAATACACCCTCTCTAGTTGCTCTGTGTGCTTGGTGTGTCTGCTCTAGAAGGTCCGCACTTTCCTGGGCCAGGTTGTATTCCAGCCAAGATTAACCGTAGCGGGCGACCACTTCTTGGAAGAGCCGGAATTGGTTCTCAGAAAACCCCAGTTGACTGGGGACAGTCATTTCCTTGCTGGTCCCTCTCATACCCTGCTTTGGGGGGTTATTGAAGTTAAGCACTCTGACTCATTTTAGGGGACCAACGGAAGAGTTTTTCTGACCATAGTAGGCAGACCTTCTTTCTGGGATGATTCGTATTTCTTTTTCCTTTTGCAGACTGTGAAAAATAAATCCACAACCTTTGGAGATCCAGGAAGACTATCCAATCTCTCCTCGGGGCATTTGGCAACGAGCACCGGAGAATCTCCTATGGGGAACAACTGAATCGTCTATATCTGCCTTGAGTCGCCAGGCCTCTCTGCTGTGTGGGATCCGTTCATGTTCCCAGGAGACGCCCCAGCCCTTCTTGGCTCTAAATTATTGGCTTCCATTTTCCATCCTGAGCTTCGGCCAACCATGGGTCACACACTGAAGCAGGGAACACCTCGCCTCATGCTCTCCTGGCTGCTGGTGCTGGCTGGTATTGTGTGCTTGGCTTCAGGTAAGCAACTTTCAGGGACCTTCCTGAATGCCAGGTTTAAGAGAAAGGTGGTGCTGTTCTCTCTGTTATCATGTGTCACCTAGCAAACCAGAAAGACCCGTGCTTGTGTTCCCAGTACCATTTAGGACTAAGAAAACTGTGGTCCAAAGAGGTTACAAGACCCACTGAGGGTCAGACAGCAAGTCAGCAGCCAGGTTACCCCAAGAACCCGACCTTCATGGAAGGGGTAAGGGCAGTATTATTTTAACAAAACTGTGTCTGGTGATATAGCCCAACGGCAGAGTGCAAAACCTGAGTTCAAGTCCTCGTACCAAAATAAATAAACAAACAAATAAATAAGTTTTTTAAAAAAAACATGAAACTGATTCTGAAGGCCAGTTTAGAGTTGTGGCCTTTTCCGTGAATGCTAGACATTCTTAATGTGTTGAGATGCAACAAAGATCTTTGCTGATCTTGCACGCTGATTTCTAAAATACAGGTCTAGGATACAACTCAGCAATGTGCTCTGCCTCTCTAATCACACAGTGATGATCTATTCAAGTGGAGAGGGATGTGGGGAGTACCTGAGAAATATGATATTCTTAATGTTACGTCATTTAATATTTATTTTTATGCCTTAAGGGTGCTACCCTTTGTCGATATTGGTTTTAACATTAAGTGATATGGAATTTAGTGCAAACTTTTTAGTTATTTTTAATTGACTACATAAGTATTTCCAGTTTGTCCAGCACAGCACTTTGACTTCTAAATCTTTTGTTCCAGCTTCGGTCTTAAAGGTGGTCTTAAAGGTATTGGACATGGTGGGATTTCAAGAAAGTTAGGACTCACCCCACTGGCAGGATAAGATTTATTTTCATTTTTTAAAGTGAGGAGGAAAATTCACTTTCTATGAAGTTGTTCCCATAATGAAGTTTCTTCAAAAATGAAGGTGGATAGGAGGGTTGGTCAATCTTCAAATAGTCAACAGATCTATCTTAAAGCAGCTCCCTTCAAAACTGCCAAATTATCCAAGTGTGAGGAGGGAGGGATTCTTCCTGACCCGGCCTGCAAGAAAGGCCAGGGCAGGGGCACGAAGATTACCTGCAGGGATGTTAGTTTTAAGTTTTTTGTTTGAAGCTGTAAAGCCCTGCTATTTTATCACTGTCAGAGCCAAAAGAAGCAAGGCTTCAGTTTCCCAATTTCCACATCAGTTGTTATATACTTTTGACAGTTATATTATAATGCCAGCAGTTACAAAAGTACAATTTTCTTCCAGGAAGCTGGGCAAATTTCTCAAAACTGAATATTGAGATTAAAACGAGCAAGGAGGGGACACTATAAAAGAGAAGGAAAACATTAAAGAAATTAAATGAAGATTTTATAATTGTGCCAGGAAAATTAGAGTAAGCAGGAGTAAGCAGAAGGAGAGGCTCTTGGAGCGAAAGAAAGGTGCACTCAGCTCACTGGTGCTGAGTCAACAGAGCTCTCATGAGCTCCTGGACATCTACCTGTGCCAGGTGGGGTCACAGAAGTGGGGCCTAGAATTCCTGTCCTCAAAGAGGCTTGCATATGTCAGTCGGGAAAAGTGACATGAACCCACATAAAACAAGCAGAGGACAATGAAGCGCAGAGTCCTGACTGTAAAAGCCCAGGATCTGGGAAACGATGGGCCAGGGTAGTGGAGCAGCCAGAGCTGGCTTGATGGAGGTAGGTGAGTGATGGACAGAGGTTAGTGGGGGTGCTGCCACCAGGACAGGAGCCTAAGGTGAAGAACACTGGTGGGATGTTTATTCTTTTGTTCAATCATTGAATTCAACAAACATGGAGCATATCCTACACGCAGGACATTTTTCTTGGTCTTGGGGACAAACTGTGAGCAAAATGGACGTGGCTTTTGTTTTCATGGAACTTGTGGTCATTGGGAGGAAGAAGAAAGAAAACCTCAATGATCATTGTGATGATTGTGTGACCAGCACAGAGATGAGCACTGCCAGAGGAGGTGATGTCTTCTCCATGGGAGGAGCAAGAAAGAGCGAGATCCTGCCCATGGATGGTGGATCAGGGGGCAGAGTCCCCAGGTCTTGCAACCCACTAAGAATCTGAGCTGTGTTCAAGAGATCCGCGAGGCCATGGAAGTGTTCTAGACAGGGAGTGGCCTGGTCTATCCCAGAGCTGTACATGCTTTAATTGTGCATACCAATCTCCTGGGAGTTTTGTTGAAATGCAGTTTCTAGCATGGGGATTTCTTAGAGAAGTGAAACTATTTTGCATAGTATTATAATACTGGATATAAGTCATTAAAAATTTTTCAGACTCATAGAATGGACACCACCAAGAGTGAACTCTGAACTCTGGACTTTGGGTGACAGTGATGTGTCAACACAGGCTCATAGACTGAGACAGATCTCCCCACCTGTGCAGATCAAGGGAAGGGAAGCCAGGGACCTCTGAGATGGTGTCAGTGAGAATCCTTTCTCCTTTCCACTCGGTTTTGATAGGAACCCAAAACTGCTTCAAAACATAGAGCCCACTTTTAATTTTTTAAAGTTTATTTTAAATGTTCTTTCAGCTTAGAGGGAGGGATCTCAGATGGGGTTGAGATTCTGGATGTCTAATAACTCTGCTGACACTGATGGTACTGGACCATCTATCTGTAGTTTGAGAAATGAGTCTGTAAATGACATTTAAAAAAAAAAAAACCTAGAGTTACCAAAGCATACATAAGGCTTATAGCATTGCCACAGTGATTGTGCAAAACCTGTCAAGGCTGTTTTAGCAGCTAACAGTATATGATAATGGCTTTGGTGTGTTTGCAAATGGAGCCAGAGGGAACTGGACAGGTTGAGATGGGCACAATTTGAAATGCCAAGGCTTTGGCAGATTGGAGTGCGATATGAGTTGTCCATGGTCTGTCAGAGGTGAGACTAGGTAAGCAGAATGGAGTAGGATTGTGGAGGACTTTGTTGAGGGGCAAGGCATGACCCACTCTGGGCCTTCTTCTCCTGCCCTGGGTCAGGAAACCACACCATGGAAGCTGTGTCTTTCCCAGCTCCTCCCCAGCCACTGACGCCCAGAGCAACTGAGTCTCTCTGCATGGATGGGAACCCAGTAAGGCTCCCATCTACCTCTTGGCTGTCTCTGGGGGTAGAAATATCTCATGATGGACTCCAGAAACTGGTGGCTCTGTGGCAGAGGTGTAACAAGACAGCTGTCAGAAAGCCCACTGTGGGCAGCCTCTCCTCCATAGATAGGGTTCTTCAAGTGAGGTCAGCTCCCTGGTCCACAGGAATGCTGAGCCAAGATAAAAACAGTGCCCCCACTAACAAACACCTTGCACCCCATGTTGCTGCCAGACTGCTGCAGGCCAACATATCCCACAGACAATGGTTTTAACTGTTATAACCCGGCAAACAACTGTTTAAGTCCTTGAAGGCTTTAAAGATATAAATACTATTTAAAGAAAGGGGAAAGGAAAAAAACAAGGATCAGATTTGGAGAGAAATCAAAAGCAATGTAAAAATGTGACAATCTTCCGTCCACCAGCTGCCAGAGGCACCTTATCTTCCTTGTGCTGCTAGCATCCAGAGCAGGGTGCTCTGCCCACATTCCCATTGGCCCAAAAAGAGACCTTGTGCCCACTACTCACTCCGCATGTCCCCTGCCCTCATTTCCCAGGAACCACAAAGCTACTTTCCAGGTCCACACTGGCTTCTTCTGGACACAATTGGCATCACACAATACATGGAGTTTAGTATCCGGCTTCTTAACATTATGTCCTCAAAGTTCATCCGTGTTGTAGCATATGAAAACTTCATGTATCAGAACCCCATTCATTTCTATGGCTATTTTCCATTACAGACTGAGTTCTTGAGAAGGTCAGTGCTTATCTCAAGCTAGTGATATTTATGTTTTTCAGCTAATAGCTTCCTCTCTCATGGGCTTAGCAGTCAGGATTTGAAGTGCTCAAGACAGGAGGTGGCAAAGGGGCCAAGGAAGGTGGGGGCTGGGAGCTAACACCGTTGAGTGTCCCCAGCATGCAGGACAGCTCGGCAGTCTTGCCTTCCATTTCTGCCTTGTCACCTCTCCCTTGCAGCCCCTGACTGTCACTGGGTATAAGTGGCTCAGGCATCCCATACAACGGGCGGGTACTCAGCTCAGATCATGGGTCCCGCAGTTATCATGGCTCCTTCCTGAATGTGACTCAACAATGCAGGCTACTATGCTAGGGAAGAACAACTCTGCTGAGAGCTGCCTAGTGTTGCACAGTAAACAAAGCACTGGGCAGTTGGTGCTCAGCGCTCACTGTGATAACCAGGTGAAGTCAGGAAGTCACTATGCCCCTTTCTGCAGAAATGGTACCTGAGGCCCAAAGAAACCGATCAGCTTCTTTAAAGTTATGACTCCAATCCACAGTGATGGAGCCAGACCTCATCTCCTAAGGCCTAACCACATATCCAGCTAGTATTTACTGAGTCCCTCCTAGACCGGACCCTGCCCTAGACACTGTGGATTTGACAATGGACCAAACAAGCAAATGGAAATTATGTGGGGTGAATACTGATATGTAAATATGTACCAGCTGGAGCAAGTTTGAGGCCAGGAATCAGGGCATGAGATAGAGTAGCAGGACCAGTGCAGTTAGACAGGAGGGCACTGCTTAGGGGAAGTCTGAGGAGGTCTCTCTCTGACCAGGGACATAGGGCCAGCCCCCAGCGAGCTGTGAGGACATCTAGAGAAGGCACTAAGCTCTAAGCTCTAAGCTCCAAGGCACCATGAGGAGTTATACACGCAGACTCACTTGAATCCTCACAAATGTCTGTCTGGTGGCGTTGCAATGCTCGTTTGTAAAATGGCTTGAACATACCAAGTTCAGACAGTCCATGGGGTTTTAGGCTGAGGTTTCAGGCACCTGACTTCCCTCCCGAGTCACTGACGCAGACCCGAGCCTCCGGGGACGTCCAAACTGTTTTTCCATTACTCTGCATGTAGCAGGGCCCCTGAGGTGGGAGCCAGGTTCCTGTGGGAATTTCCAAATTGCCCGAGAGATTCTTTGTTCCTCTTTTGAGTCTGGTTCTTCCTCAGCACCAGTGTCTGGTGACAGGAGGAGCTCAGATGGGAATGTCGCACAGCTCATTGATGGTATGCCATGACCTTTAGAGCAACTCCCACGCTTCCCCTCAAATAGCCGGACAAAAACTCCTTGGGAACCATTATTGAAATGAGATGGCTCCCTTGAAGTTGTGATTTCTCTTTTGCTCATGTCATCACATCTCAGAATCAGATTCGCCTTAGGTGGGAACAAGCATGGTGAGGAGAATCGCCTCCGATGAGCAGACCGCTGTGTGTCACAGTGTCTGTCTGGCCCATGACAAGACCAGCAGTCTGTGTATTAAGTGACCCTGGAGGGAGAGAAAAGGAAGCAGTCATAGGAGTTAGGGCAGGCAGATGGGAAGAGAAAAAAGGAAACTCTTACAGAAGACTTGTCAGGGACGTTTCTATTTAGATCATCTAATTGAGTTTAATTCCATAGTGATTTTGAGGAACAGGCATGATATCATTTTACAGATGAGGAAACAAATTAATCAGCAACTTTCTGGGCTGGAACTATAGCCCAGTCAACTAGACTAGTTGGCGTTGTCCCTTTTAGTTCTCTTGTGTCCCTACGAGTAACCAGGTCTAGCTTGACTTTTAGCTTATTATAGCTTTCACTCTAAAGATGCTCCATTTATGGTTTATTTTTTCATTTATTCTCTCTTACATTCCTTAAACAGTTACATTCCTTAAAACAGGGCCTAGTGGTATTCAGTGTCACTGCCAGAAGTGCTACATAGGACCTTACTGGGCTAGCCCTCGTTGCTCTGCAAATACTCATGATCCTAACACCCTCTTCTTATACCATGGTGGAGCTTTGCCAGTCTGACAGAGGCCTGAGACTGGTTGGTTGGGAAATGTGCCAGTGCCCCATTGTCCTGCCTTCCAGGAAGAGCCACAGGCAAGAGAGACACAGCTTTACAGCTCCTGGCAGGGACAGCTAGTCAGGAGGGCTTGGGCCTCAGAGAGACATTGCTTTTAGGTCCCACACAGTGTAGAAGAATGATCAGACCTTCAGACCCATCACAAATATACTTTGATAAGGAATTGTGGGCTGCTAATGAGTGCTAGAAGCTAACAAGGAGATGGTATTTGGATGCTGAAATGTTGGTATTTCTAGGACCTAGTGAGAGGGAATGGGCAGCCTATGTAAAATGGAACACTGTTAGCCAATCCAGGCTTCTGAATAATTGCATGGACTGCAGAGAGCCAAGAGGTAAGGAGAGGATAGAGGATCCATTTAAGGTAACTAAAGACCTTAGGAAAGGTGCGGAGGTATAATCATGGCCTTGTCCGGTGGAGATGAGGGGAGTCACTGCAGCCTGAAGATGCGGCGTGAACCCAGGACTGACAAGAAAAAAAAAAAAAAAAAGCTTCCTCAAAGCAAAAGAGCTCTATCGCTGTGCCAGGAAGGAAGCACAGGACACTGTTGGCTTCTGTATCAGGGAACTGGAGCCTAAACCTGGAGAAAACAGGAAACAAAAAGCATGGTCCTGAGAGGCTGGGCCAGAAAGAAACAGATGTGTAAAACTGGGAAAGTTTCCTGGGCTTAGCTCTGTCGTCTGTAAGACACCAGAATGAGTACTTTTGGAAGTCCCTTGCTTCTCAGGAAGGTGACCAGGAACAGACAGGAAGGAGCCTCGGCGAGTGTGTTTTCTACCCATAGTGTGAGAATTTCTAGAAAATGGGATGACGCTGTTCTTCCAAGCAGTTACAAGAGTAACTATTGTTACTCTGGCTATACCAAGTGCATTTTTTAAATAAGTAATGCAAGTACGGTTGCTTCTCATCGTTGAAGTAGTTGTGTTTTAAGAAGTTGCCACGACTGTGAGTCAGTGAATACTGACCCATTGCTCCCGGGGATCATGCAGACAGGTTCCTGAGAGCCTCTGGGAACAGCGTTGCTATCACTGATAGTTCATAGCCCTGGTTTGTACATGATTCTGTTGAGAGACACTTGGACTCACACTTGGCAATATGGTCAACAACTCAGAACTGAAGGATGCTAATCCAACACTTAGTTTTCTCTGCAAAGCATAACACAGATAATGAGGACTGAGTACACTGCCCACTTAAAATACGGCCCTAGTTTTTCTTGCTGGTTCCCATTGCATTTTTCCATCCTTCCCCTCCTGACACAACCTGCTCTTTCTAGCTTCCTGAACCTCTCAAAGTCTTACTTGCCTTCTCTGTGAAGAAGTATAATACATACCTCATGGGGCTCCAAAAAGGACTCATGAAATGTCACTTGTTCCCTTCTAGAGAGTGATATTGAAGACATAAAAATCAGGCTGTGACAGACTCTGTGTGGTGACACATGACCTCTAGACAGATGGAGGGCTCTACCCTCCAGCACTGCTCATTCTGGGATCTTGATCAGGGCTGACTTCTGTTTGGAGTGGCATTATGTAATACACAACAAATAAATAGCAGGACTAAAGAGTCCTTGGTTTCAGAGGTGGCTCCTATTGGTCCTTATTCCTGCAGGCCATTGGAAAATCCCTAAGAAAAAGTACAGGGCAGGTTATATTATGTTTGGTTCTTAAGCTGGGTCTTAGTGATGCATCGTAATGATTTCAAACTAAGTTCATTTTTATTCAATTTATTTACTTTTAGAAATAATAAATTTTGAAAATCATTCAAGAGCATTGGTGGTGCATGAGTATAGCAGTCCCTCTGGAAACTAAAAATAGAGCTGAGCATGGTAACCCATGCCTGTGATTCCAGAACTCTGGGAGCCTGAGACAGGAGGATCACAAATTTGAGCCCAGCCTGGGTTACTCAGTAACTTAGTGAGATCTTGTCTGAAAATTTAAAAAAAAAAAAATTTCAGGGGGTTTGGGATGTGGTACAATATGAAGGCCTTGGGTCCAATTCCAGGTATAGCAAACGAACAACACCCTAAAAATAGAACTGCCATATGATCTAGCAAGTCTGTGGCGACATATCCAGAGAACTTGAAATCAGGATCTTGCAGAGATATTTGAACACCTATATTCACACCAAATAGAAAAATCAGGGAAGAATCTAAGTGCCCATCAACAGAGGAATGGGTCAGCCCAAGGACATACTGTTCATTGCTTTTATTGTTATGTCATTTTCTTTCTTTAAAAAGGAAGCAAGTCAGGTCATATGATAAAATATCATGAGCCAATCACAAAAAGATAAATATTCAATGATCCTACTTATAGAAAGTATCTAAAGTAGCCAAAGTCATAGGAAAAAAAAGTGCAGTGGTCGCCATCAGGGGCTTAGGGGAAGGAAAAAAGGGAGTCATTTTATGGTGCAGAGTCTTGGATCTGCAAAGTCTAGAAATCTGTTTCCCAGTAATGTAAATACATTTAAATGCTACTGAGCTCTGCACTTTAAATAGTCAACATGGTTAATTTTATGTTATGTGGTTTGTTTAGTTGCACATATAATAAAGGGGGAAAAAATCAAACTGGATTCTCTCATCATGCATCATTCTCTCATCCCTAGGTACAGTACCCCGAGTCCTGTGGCTGTCTGCATTTGTGAGCATCTATATTGAACAAAATGAGATTTTGTTCTTTTTGCCTCTCCTTAGGCAGGCAGGTGACCAAGTCATTGAGAGAAGCAGTGATGCTGTCCTGTGAATACAACATTTCTGTTAATGAGCTGGACAGAGCTCGAGTCTACTGGCAAAAGGATAAACAAGTGGTGCTGAGTATCGTATCTGGGAAAATAGACGTGTGGAGTGAATACAAAAACCGGACCTTTCTTGACATTCCTAATAAGCTTTCACTGGTGATTCTGACCCTGCGCCTGTCAGACAGGGGTGTGTACACCTGTGTCGTTCAGAAGTCTGAGAAAAGAGTATTCAAAGTACAACACTTGTCTTCAATCACGCTCTCCGTCAAAGGCGGGTGGAATTTTCTGGCTAACTCAAGGCTTCTTAATACCTTTAAAGAACACTAGTGATTTAAGTGGAGATTTTACCAAAGAGGGATGTATCTCACTTCACTGCTTAGGGTTGAATCTGCAGTAAACTCTAACCGATTTCTTAAGGTGGAAATATCTGTTGGTATGCATTTCGTGGGCTGACAGTGCAGGTTTGTGACCATCATCGTGGATACTGAAGTGACCTGGAATGCCTTCCGGGTCATAGAAGGGCATCTTTGATCTGATAACTGTACTGCTTTCTGCATTAGAGCCCATGAAAGCACTTTGGAAAGATTAAAGAGCAAGGCAGACATATGTATCTTTCAAGTAGTATTTGAATATGTATAGCTATTTTATTACTACATTCTAATATTTATATGTGATATTTACTTATTGTGCATTTGACGTTCTCACCTAAATCTTCTGCAAAATTAACTGTTAGAGAATTGGGGGAATCAGTCATGCCCGCTGCATGGAAAAACATTAATTCCCAAATCACAGCCTGCTTCTACACTAGCAGTGAAGGACAAGCCTGTCTCAGCTTGGACAGGAAGGAGGTGACAGTCCTGGAATTAAACACGGAAGTCTGGAGTCCTCACTGAGGAGTGATAACCTCGGGCCACTCTCTCACATTGCTTCTTCCAGAATGATTGAGGTTTAGTGAAAACCAAACCTTATTCTTAGTAAAGTGTAATGATTCATCTTTGAAATAAATAATTTCAGTAGATTCATAGCGAACCTCACACTGTTCTTCCCTGTTTCAGTCGTTAGCAATGAATCTTCCCGTGGTCATCATCAGCTACACGAAACTTGCTCTCTGTAGTCTCTGCTCATGGTTAGAGCAGATTTATTACAAGTTGGAAATGCTATAAATACTAAGAAGCCATCCTTATCCAAAAGTTTGACCATGTCAGATGAGCAAGATGAGACCAAACGTGGTTAAACTGGCCCAAGATCACAAAGAATAACCCCTCTGTGGACCCAAACTTCTCAGTTGAAAGCTAAGCCCTAGGCACTTAAGTATGGGGGATCCAATCCTCACATTCGGTCTGAGAAGTAAAGATTTTAAGCCAAAGAATAGAGGAGGAAGAGGTTACCAGAGGTTTCTCCTTTGTTTTATAGGTTTTATCATTTCCTGCCTCTGCTTTATAGGTTATTGTATCTCATCGGGGGTCAAATATACAAATGGAAGCATGCCTCGGCTGTCTTGGAGAAGGGCTAGGAAGTTTCCTCTGTGTGTTTCAGCCACATCAGAGAAGCAAGCAGTAAAGATTAGCGGTCGAGATTATAGGCTCAGGATGGCACAATCAGACAGGCTTATCTGGTTATCTGCTTCTTATCTGCTTGACAAGAAGCAAGAGGATGCTACACAATTCAGGTAGCAGTTACTGCAGGTCCAGGGAAACAGACAGGAGAGGCGGGACCAGGGTAGATTTATGGACGTTCCCGTCAGTGTTCTTGTTCTCAAATTGGAGAATGACTCCTAAAGCTCTCATTATAATTTACTAAATAAGTAGATAAGCTACAAGAGAACCACTGGGTTCTTCAAAAAGCAGGAAGAAAGGAAGGAAAGGAGAAATCATTCTCTGATGTCAAAAAAAACTTGAATGCAAATCCCAGTTCTGCCATTTAAAAGCTATAATTTTTCTAAGCCTCAATTTGATTATTTCTAAAACAAGTTGTTTAAAGTTAAATCCTATGAAATTATAAAAATTCACCAGTTGCAGTGGTGCACACTTATAATCCCAGCTACTAGGGAGGTTGAGGCAGGAAGATCACAAGTTCAAAGCAAGCCTGGGCACCTTAGATCCTGTTTCGGAATAAAAATAAAATTAAAAAGGCTGGGTTTGTAGCTCAGTGGAAGAGTGCCCTAGATTTAGCCCCTAGTACTAAAAAACAGACAAACAAAAACAAAAATCCCTAGATATTTTATCTTTTTATTTTTTAAAACACATCCCACTATGCTGTCCAGAATGACCTTGAACTCCTGGACTTTAAGTGATGCTCCTGCATCAGCCTATTGAGATGTACCGCTGCACCCAGTCTAATAGCTGACCTTTTTGGATCTAAATCCCACCTGATGGGGTTACTGTAAAGAGAGAATAAGATATTGTCCCAACATGACTAAAAGGAGCCCATAAATGTTGTTTTTATTTTGCCTCTTAAAAATCACAAGTACTAAATCAACATATATTCCCATGAGCGTACTTTTTTCTTCCCTAAACATCCTTCAATCTCAGTGAAGAGTGGTGAAGAATTGATATGATCAATTCAAATCAAAGTTTTTAGATTATACATAGCTCTTAATAATATATGGGGAGTTATAAATTAATCTCATTTTATTATTCTTATTCAAACTAGCTATTATATTAAAATATAAGCCTGCTGGATATAGTAGCACATGCCTATAATTCCAGCACTTGGGAAGCTGAGGTACAAGAGTCACTGTGAGTTTGAGGTCAGCCTGGGCTAAAAATGAGCTCAAGAAGGCCCGGGATTTAACTCGGTGGCCTAAGTGCCTGCCTGGCAAGTGCAAGGTTATGAGTTCAATCCCTGGTACAAAGGGGAAAAAAAGCTCAAGACCAGACTGAACTGCATAGTGAGATCCTGTCTTTTAAAAAAACCAAAGAATAAAATAAAATAGAAAACAAAATGTAAACCCGTATACACACCTATGTAACCAGATGTAATTATATGTTTGCTTTTTCTCTAGCTGATTTTCCTCCCCCTAGTATAACTGACCTTGGAAATACATCTACGGACATTAAAAGGATATTATGCTTAACTTCTGGAGGTTTTCCTAAGCCTCACCTCTCCTGGCTGGAAAATGGAGAAGAACTAAATACTGCCTACACGATGGTTTCCCAGGACCGCCAGACAGAGCTGTTCACAGTCAACAGCAGCCTGGATTTCAACACAACGAGCAGCCACGTGTTCAAGTGTCTGGTCAAATATGGAGACTAAGCAGTGTCAGAGACATTCATCTGGCAGAGACGTAAGTGACGTTCTCTCTGTGTTCCCCCTCCACAGAACCCAAAAAGGGACTTGCTTAGTCAGACACATCCTAGAATTGAATTTACTGACTCTGACAGGAATTTTACAGTTGTAGACATTCAAGATGGTGCTGTCATGTCTTACTGAGGTCAATGTACAAGACGTGATAATAATGTTGCTGGACTAATTTTATTTTCTTTTTAAATATTTTAAAATTTATACACCTAAAAACTGCTATCCATCAAGCAGTTATCTTGGCAGCTATCGCAATACCATGGTGTTCTAGCAAAAGCACTAATATTTGTCCTCTGTGATTCCCTTGGGCCTCCAGCACTTTCTCTTAGGTACCCATTCCTGCAGCGCCACGGTATTGAAACTTTGTCTTCTATCAGTGAACGTGCTTTTTAGGAACTACTGGTTCAGCCAGGCGTGGTGCCATAGGCCTGGAATCCCAGCACTCTGAGGACTTAAAGCAGGAGACTCACAAATTTAAACCCAGCCTGGGCGATTTAGCGATTCAGAAAGATCCTGTCACAAAATTAAAAAAGAAAAAAGAAAAGAGGTAGGATTTTAGCTCAGTGTGAAAGCCCTGATTCAATCCCCAATACCTAAAAATAAAAACAAAATTAAACAACAGCAACAAAATTAATGGTTCTTTCAGGGCCAAGTCTGATAAAGAAAGTGAGCAAGATACTCTTTGTAAACAATACTTGAGGAGAAAAAACAGAGATTGTCAGGTGTGCAGGTACATCCCTATAATCACAGCCCTCAGAAGGCTGGGAGTTTAGCTCAGTGGCTTAAGCGCCTGCCTGGCAAGCGCGAGGTCATGAGTTCGATCCCTGGCACCAAAACAAAACAAAAAATCGCAGTCCTATACGAGGCTGAGGCAGAAGGACCCTTGTGAATTTGAGTACAGCATGGGCTACAAAGTGTATTCAAGGCCTGCCTGAACTATATAGTGAGACCTTGTCTCAAAATAAATAAATAAGTAAATAGTTTTTAAAAGAAGGAAAGAAAGAAAAAGAAACAAAAAGAGAGATCAGTGGGGCTGGGGGTTTAGCTCAGTGGCATAAGCGCCTACCTTGAAAGCAGGCAGTCGTGAGTTCGATCCCCGGTACCGATAAAAAGGAAAAAGACAAAAAATTAAAAAAAAAAAAAAAAAGAGAGATCAGTTTAGAGCCAAGACATAAACTTACAGAATTTTCTTTCCTCAAGAGGTAAAGTTATCTGAATATAAAATACAGGAAAAAAACTTCGTAGTTTATCACAGCAGAACTCAGATACTTGAAATACATGGCTGACCATGCAAGGGCCCAGCAGGACTCTCCCTAAGCCCACTCCCAAAGATATATTTTGTGTGTTCCCATAATAAACAATGCATTTGAGTGTGACATTCAGTGGTACGTTAGCATACAGTGTAACTTAGAGTGTGGTATATGTCTTCCTCCTGTCTTTGAGCAGATAGTTTACTTATATGGTGTACTCCTTCACTCTCATTTATTTATAGCTCTTTCAGTCCTGACATGGATTTTTAAACTATTTTCCTCTATGGATATTTAGATAAAATTTTCTGGAAAAATTAGTTCCAATATATAGTTCCAGGTTAGCATGGTTTTACTATCCTCCAAACTCTCTCTTGATAATCATTTATGTAGCCTAAAACATTTATAAAAGTGACTTTTGAACCAAATAGTAAAATAAATAGTTTTGCTATAAAACTGTCTACTTTGTAAGAGGCTTAGTTTGGCCCTATAGATATATCATCGTTTAACCATCTTTAGAATGTTCCAAAGATCAACATTAATGCAGAGATGGATCAGTAAAGTAAATCATATTTTAGTTGGTCTTTGTCTTTGGAATGCAGGCAGGTATGAGTGATATTCTTTTTTTTTTGTGAGACAAGGTCTCACTGCATACTTTAGACTGCCCTCAAACTCACTACATAGTCGAGGCTAGCCTTGAGCTCATGGTAGTCCACCTGTCTCAGCCTCCCGAGTGCTGGGATTACAGGCATGAGCCACCAGGCCCGGCGTGGGTGACATTCTTTGGCAAAGACTGTCAAAGTTTTTGTGAAAGAGCCACACAGTAAGCATTTTAGACTTTGCAGTTCCGTCTCTGTGGCACAACTCAGCTGAGCTCAGTTCTGCAGAGCAACAGCAGCCGTGAGGGAGACATTAATGAAGAACATGGCTGTGTCCCAACAAACTTTGCTATAAACACAGGCGGCATGCCAGATTTGGCCCGGGCACCATTGCTAACCAACTTACAGGTTTTGTCTTTGTGGTTGGAGAGTTTTAGACTATAAATACTTCAGAGTGCAGGCATCCTTAGAGTAAGAGGCAAAGGCAAACAGCCCCTTTGAGGCTGTTGAGGGCTGACAGTACAGACAAACATTCCCTGGGTGTACAGTGCGTAGAAAGATGCTCTTTCTGATGGTTCTGATGGTTCTTTTAGTCTAGGCATGATGAATCCGTTAACCCTTGATAACCTAGAAAGAAGTAAATCGGGCAGCCCCACTCCTAAGTGTGACCTTTCCGAGCAGGGGCCCTCACCCAGCTGTGCCGCTGGGACCCTGGTCCTACCCTGGGGTGTGTTAAGAGGACTCTAACAGGCAGAAGCAGTTGGCTGCGCCTGGCTTCTTCACCCTTTCACACACACATTGCCTCTCTAGGCTGACGGAGGCAGGGGAGGGGTAGGGAAGTGTTTTGAAAGGAAACCAGGAGTGAGCCAGAGCCCGAAGTCCCCTGCGCTTGCAGGCTAGGGTTCCTTTGTCATTTCATGTCCTGCTGGCCTGCAGTGGCCAACGCTGGGAATCACTTGATGTCTCCTTGCAGTCTGGTGTTTTAGGAAAAAGGAGATGACGGGTTTTCCTACTTTGTAAGCGGCTAGCATCTAAGTGCAGACATGTATTTTTTAATAATGACTGTAACAGCAATGTGTAGGATTTATTGTAGCCCAGGACAACTGAAGCAAAGCGGACAGTTTGGAGGCTCCTAGGGAGGCGATGAGAAAAATCCAAACTAAGGTAGTTGTTGCAGAAGATGTGTGAAAAGCAAATAGTATCAGAGATATTCTGAATATAGCAATGGGAGCTGACTGGGAAATGAGAACAAGGGAAGTTTGTCTCTTTTATTTGGGTGACTAACAGTGATGGCATGTGTTGCCGTGGGTGAACGCAGCTGCTAGATATGCTTTAGAAAGAATATGGCTCCATCAGATGGAGAAGCTGGCCCCCAGCCAGCTAGTCAGCAGCTGTGGCTCCAAAATCTGCGGCTCAGAAATGAGGTCACAAATATTAAAGATTTGGAAATCGGATGGCATTTTAAGCCTTGGGTGTGGATAAGATTACCTGGGAGGACTTGGCCACAGACAGGACATGAGAATTACAATATTTAAAGGACAAGAAAAAAACAAAAGTCTACAAAGAAAACTGAGTGTAAAAAACTGAAGCGGCAGGCTCAGGCATTGTAGAAGTCAATGGCAAGAGGTGTCTGTGGGTCCGCTGCCGTGAGAAGTCCAGTGAGCTCACGATTAAAATTGCCCATAAGCTGTGGCGGCCAGAGGAGTGAGCAGTGGGTTAGCACCTGTTCCAAGTGCATTCATAAGCCATTTCAGAGAAAACATAAAAGGACGAGCTACTAAAATACCTTTCAATTTCTACCCTGCCCTCTCTCCAGATCTTGTTGCTAACTCAGAGGCTCAAAAATAAATGCTGTAGCTGTTGTGTGGGATCAGGAGGGATGGGTGGCAGCACCACATACACAAATCTTTCTTCGCCCACTCATTTCCTTCCTTATGCCCTCTTGTGCTCCCCGTGGAGCCTGGAGAGCTCTTCAGGATACCCCCACCTAATACCAAGGCACACCCTCCACTGGCTCTTTGGTGAGGCTCTTCTGTCCTCCCAAAAGTTTAAGGGTCGATGTGAAACAAATGTACCTTTCAAGTGACTCTCCTGGTTTTGTCTGCTATAAAAATGATGTAGGGTGACAAGAAGATATACAAGTATCTCTTTAGATTCTTTCTTATGCTAATCTAGTAAATTGCAAAAGTTCAAATTGTCCTTTTTATATTCTCTGACAATTAAGTATTAATTAGTTGTCCCCAGTATGTGTCTGACTAAAAAAAGTATGCAAGAGAAATGCTAGCAGCTGTATATTGATGAGCTGACCAGGCAAAGAAGTGAAAAATTCCCTGCAGGCTCATATAGAAGATGCATAGGGGGCTGGGGATTTAGCTCAGCAGCATAAGCGCCTGCCTTGCAAGCAGGCAGTTGTGAGTTCGATCCCCAGTACCAATAAAAAGGAAAAAGACCAAAAAAAAAAAAAAAAGAAGAAGAAGATGCATAGGATAGGAGCCAAGCAGCAGGAAATGTACTACAGCTCACATTATTCATTTCTCTCCATAGCCCAGCCACCAAATCCTGATACTCCTGGTCATCAGTTCCCAGTGTGGATCATTTTGTTAATTTCCATATGCAGTGTGGTTTCTGCCCTCGTCCTAGGGGTCCTGGCCTGGAAAGGTAAGTCCTACCTTTCTGTCATGATGGTAACTACTGCAAGCCTGGACACCATCAGTATGTTTCAGCATCTCTCCGTTTCCACCTATTCTCTTCTCATATTTGCAGCAAATTTATGGCAGTTTGTCTCAGCAATTTCTGCCCACTCACTGGACAAAGATTTCTTGAACACCTAATAGCCTGACATTCTCCTAGGACTAGAGTTACAGAGAGAAGAAATCTGCCCTTCAGATGCATTCTAGTTTAGTCCTTTTATTTTTTCCTTGACTTTTTATCTTCTTAGGGACACTGAGGCTTGCTGATTAATTTGAAAACATCTCTGATGCTGATATTCTAATCTTTGACTAAGGAAAGGCATAATGGCAAGAATAGGGAAACCAGAATCATTTTCCTGGGAAAGACAAGATATACTAATACAACCGATGAATTACACGGCCACAAATGCTTTCATCAACTATCAATTCTTCAAACACACTTTTGGATGAAAGATGAGGAGTGGTTGATGAAAAGATATCTAGGAAATTTTACCATTTGGATTTAAACTATATATATATATATATATATATATATATATATATATATATATCCTACTTTAGTCTTTGTGATTAAGGGAAGAGGATCTGCTAGATCTGAGCTATAGCTGCAATCATCATGAAACTATGGCTGTAATCACCACGTAATCACCAATTCTTTATGGAGTAGAAATTACACACACTGAACAAAGAAAATTAGAAGGCCAGCATCCCTTAAGGGCTGTGGATTTAGCTCAGTGGCATAAGCGCCTGCCTTGCAAGCACGGGCTTGTGAGTTCGATCCCCAGTAACGATAAAAAAAAAAAAAAGAAGAAGGCTAACATCCCTTGACTTGTTCAACTTTCAGTGCATGCGCACGCGCGCGCACACACACACACACACACACACACACACACACACACAACAGCAGAGCCCAGTGAAGTTACTAGTGCCCATCTCATGGGTAGAATAGGGGACTCAAGGTGTTTCTAATATAAACTTTCTATCCCTACCCTCTAGTTCAGGGGTCTGCCTCAGCACTATTCCTGCTGACATTTTGGGCCAGATAAGTTTTTGTTCCGTTGAGGTGAAGTCTCACTATGTAGACCAGACTGACTTTGAACTCAGGATTCCACCATCTCAGCCTCCCTGGTGCTGGGATTACAGGCATGGGACACCATGCCGAGCTTGTTCTAGAGCTGTTCTGTGAATTATAGGATCTTTAGCAATTTCGCTGACCTCTACTCAGAACGTCAGGAGCAACTTTGCCACAGTGTAGAAATCAAATAACTATCTCCATGAATTATCGAATGACTCTGGGGTGGGGGGAGAGTTGGAAATCCCCTCCATAGTGAGAGCCACTGCTCTAAGTCTAACACAGCCTGAAGGCTTGCTGAGATTTATGGGCACCGTTTAAGGGAAACTCACCTAACAATTTTATTGTTCATGCTTATCTCCAAGGGTTTGCCCCAGGATGGAGAAACAGAAGCAATCAGGCAAGAGAGCAAATGATGATCTACTGTGCACCTCAGAAGCAGCAAGCTGAGTAGGATGTTGAAGGTAGCTTCCTTTAGCAAATCGTAACCAACTCTGAAAATGTCATCATGTGTATCATGAGGCACAATCTTCCTCTCAGTGCCAAATTTGAACTCTTGTACCTGTCACTTCGTCTTCTCAGAACACTCCTTGGTGTTACTCTAACGGAAAGCTTGGTATCCTCCTCTCTCCCCATGTGCACTTTGCCTTCGCATGCAGCCTCTTGCTTTCCTGTGCCATTCTGCCATCTTGAAATGTTCCTTCTTCTCCGCCAGCTGAAGCTTTCATTATCAACCAAACACTGAAGTAATATCCCTGGAGGACCTTCTTATTCCAATCATTCACTTTTCCCTGAATCTCTATCGATGGACACAGGTTGGGATCATTTTGTACCAACATAGTAACACCATTTTTGATCTCTCTGCCCCTCGCTGGCACACTCATCCTACCAACCAATTCCTGAGTCAGATTTCATAAAGTTATTCTGTCATTTCCCACTTGAACATCTCAGAGGCTACAAGAAAAGCTTCAAAACTTTTAATCCTCTTCATTACTGCTAAATTCTCCAGTCTGTGGATCCTTTGTTCTCTCTACTGTTCCTCCCAAGACGGTTCCCAGACACTTTATATGGCCATACTAGCTTGCAGTGAGTGGAGTCTAAGACTTAGAAATGATCTTGCTGACCCTACATGCAATGGAGTAATTACTGTCTCAAGTGAAAGAACTAACATGGCATTAGCTCCAGAGACAATTACACAGTTAATTTAAATTGACTTAGTGTTCTCCTAAAACCTTTGGTGTTTTCATGTTAGGGGGGAAAAAACACGAACACTGAAGTCTGAGATTGGGTAGTTATAACTTCTACAAACAGTCTCGCTTTGACTTAGAGATTGAGGGTAACACCAATATAAGAAATGCTAAGTTGCCTTTAAAGGGAAAAAAACTTCTCAATGTTCTGCAAAGGTAGTGCTTCATCTTAATCTTACGAAATGTGATTTTTTTTCCTACACCCATTTTTATGGGAGAGAACCCCAAAATGCCCAGTCGTTGAGTGAGGTGCACAAGGTCACACAGATCAGGAGCCAGCCAGGACTCAGAGCTGCAAGCTCCTGCCCCCTCACTGGGGCACAGCAGCCTATCTGTGCTTTTTCCAAGGCAGTCTCTTAAATTCCTACCCTGCTTTCATTTCAACATAATGCTTACTTTTCAGGATGCCATTTGCAGGACACCCCTCCAATTTGTTCTGTAGTTAAGCAGAATTGCCCTGACTTTCGTTCTGTCTTAAAAGCCTTCTGGTCAGCAGGGCATGGTGCACATCTGTAATCCCAGCACTTTGAAAGGCTGAGGCGGGAGGATCACAGATTTGAGCCCAGTTCATGCAACTTAGCAATTTGACAAGAGTCTGCCTCAAAATAAAAAATGAAAAGAAAGGGACTGGGGATGTAGCTCAGTGCAGAGTCCCCTAGGTTCAATTCCCAGTTCTGCAGAAAAGAAAAAAAAAGTCTTTTGGTCTACTGATGCTTCATAGTGAAACCATGAATCATAAATCCAATCTTCTATATAAAGTGCTGTGTGGCCACCTTGTGAAGTAATTCTGCCTTTGAACTTCTGCATTTGGGTTTTTTTTTTAATTTTATTTAAAAGGAAAAAGAGAAAAAACAAAACATAACAAAGCAGTGTAAGGGTACAAGTAATACAGAACTACAAAAAAAAAAAAAAAAAAAACAGTAAGAAATCACCAGTTAATAGATTCCATATTATCATCTTAGAGATAGTTGCTCAAGTCACAGTATCAAAGCATACAAAGTGGACATTCAAACAGTGAGACTGCAAACAATTGTGTTCAATGATCCAACCAAAAACATTAATATGGTCAGCTATTTAACACCCCTAATCACACTTGCTGTTGTATCTTTTAGAGCACTTTTTTTCCTTCTCTTTTTTACAACAAAATTTACACATTTGGGGTTTTATTACTTCGGGTTTATTTTTGTGAGCCTTGTTTTATATCATCTCCTAAATAGCAGGCTTGTTGAGAAGAGCAGACCTTGCCTACACAGAGAAGGGCATTTTGGTGGACAGCATTTTGTTCTTTGGTGATAGTTGGTACATGTGGACAGCATTTTGTTCTTTGGTGATAGTTGGTGCATGTGGACAGCATTTTGTTCTTTGGTGATAGTTGGTGCATGTGGACAGCATTTTGTTCTTTGGTGATAGTTGGTGCATGTGGACAGCATTTTGTTCTTTGGTGATAGTTGGTGCATGATGAATATTTGCTTGATAAATATTCCATGTAGTAAACTTAGACTAGCTCTAAGTTCTTTAACTCCATATGCTTTAGCTGGCAAAATTAATGTCTACAGTGTTACTTCAAATTGGGAATATACTTAGCATTAAATTTAAAAAGTATTTACAATTTTAATATGTTTGCACTTGCAAATTCAGGGCTTGAAATACTCATTTATTCTTTATTTCCCAGGTCCCACCTGCTTCTGTGGGACTGACTTCTTCTAGAAATGTCTTCAGGTGGCCAGGACGACGCTGCCTATGCTCTGGGACAAAACTCTTCCCTTCCATGGTTCTGCAGAAACCAACTACAGGAATGCTGCATGGATGTTACAGTAGCTCTGGTTACCTTGATGGCAGGACTTTGGAAGAATTCATGTTCAGAAGGGAGAATACTAAGGCCCAGGAAAAGGGCCTGTGTTGTGAAGGCCAGAGCCTGAACCTAGACTTTCTTCAGTAAACTATACACAGAAGACAAATTTCTTTGAGAAATAACAGGAACAGTCCTTTTCATCCCCTACTCTAGTATGGTTGGAGAGGCAGAGTTTAAATAAATCTTCAGTCTTTGGTTCATATTGGACTGATATGAAATACTTATGAGAAAGTTCTCATTTAAGATAATTTTTTACTAGGTAGTAAGTTATCTTCAGAAACAATTGATGATGGCCTTCCTTAGACCTCTTCCATATTTCTAGAGCCTCTGACATCAGCTGAGAATGGAAAAGAAGAACCGGCCAACTGCTGTTCCTATGTTATCCCCCATTCTTTCTCTGAAGAGGCCTTTTGAAAACAGTGGAGCAGGCATGGTCCCAACAGAAACCGGGCCAATGAATTATGCTCATCTGAAAACGTGTGGTTGTACAGGAAGGGGTGACCAAGTAGTAATTAAAATAAATTATTACTTATTACATTTGATAAATGTGTTAGTTCTACTTTTTAAAAGTTGTATTTTACTTTTATTATTTTGATATTTTGTGATATGAATAAACTTATTTGTAAAAGCTACTCCCTAGTTTTATGATTTCAAGTTGAAAAACTTAACCTACATATGATTGTGACTAGAATATTAAATAGACTGCGACTCACACACTGCCAATTTGCCAGTAATTTATAAATTTAGGAAAAAATACCTTATGGAGTATAGTAGGAACATGTAAATCACAGAGGCAATATACTGGTGCAGAGGCCTTTTTACCCCTATAGCTATTAATACTTACTGTCATGGAGGCCTGTGTGCCAGAGCATGAAGCTTAACGCTTTTCTGTTGGAGTGACTGTTTTTTCCCCCTGCTGTCTCACCAATCAACATAGATTCCTGTGACCCTGAAGCATATGGAGAGTTCTCCCAGCCAGAAAGCAAGTTCGTTCTGCAGTGAACATAGAATGGATGTTCTCTAATCCAGCTCAGTTCTAACAGTGCTACTCAGAGCTGGCATCAAATTCCATGGGTTGAGGGGTCAATCCCTTGAGTGCCCCCACCTTAAGTACCACTCACAAGCCCCAAGTACTAGTGCTTCTGGCCAATCACTATGAAGTTACATTCCCACAGGCCCATCCTTGGGTTTGATTAGTTTGCCCGAGTGGCTCAAATACTTCAGGGAAACTCGTTTAGTGGTTTATCAGTAAGGATATTAATGAAGGGTACAGACGAGCAGGTGCAGGGGGCAAGGTGGGGGAAAGGCAGGAAGCTTCCAAGCCCTCCTGCTCTCTGCACAGGCCACTCTTCAGGAAACTCCACACTCAGCTGTCCATAAGTTCTCCAAACCCTGTGCGTTGGGGTTTTCATGGAAGACTGATTACACGTGTATGACTGATGAAATCTTGGATGAAACTAGTGGTCAAGTCAACCTTTGGTTCACTCCCCTTCCCAGAGTTTTTGGGTGAGCAGCCCCCATCCCCTGGAGTTCTAGCCATCACACAACTCAGCATACACAGCAACACCATCACTTCAGGGACTCCGGGCACGCTAGCAGTTATGTCAGGGCACCAAATATGTACATTACAATTATCACACTGTACATAAACAAATTACTAACCACTACACAGCAGATGCTATTACACTTAGCAGATGAAAAAATTGAGACTTCAAGTACAATGGCTTTGCCACGTATCACATGGCTAAAATTGGCTAAGAAAGCCAGCGGGCTGCCTCTGGAAGCCACGATTCTAGCTATTGCATTATGCTTGCTCTCAGGGGACAAGAGTATTCTTAGAGTAGAAGCAGAGGACCAACACCAAAACAAAATGCCTGCGGGTTCCTTACCCCCTCCCATCCCCACTCCAGATGGCAGACATTTCCCATCTGGAGGGCCATTCGTTCCAAGACCTCCAAGTGGATGCCTAGGAAGTACAGGTGTAGCACATCACCCACAAGTTGACTTTTTTGCACACAAGAAATACTCTCCAGCTTGTCTCGGGCACATCTGAATTGGTGACATTACCACTCAGTGTTTAGGGGCCTTTACCAAGTGACATAAGGGTTACTTGAAGACTGGCACTGTGATTTGATAGCCAGAAAGGCTCATCCGTGACTAAAGAGCTGGTAGAGTATACAATGTAAATGTGCTGGACACAGGAATGATGGACTCATGCAGAAGCATGGCTTCAAGTCTATCACAGTATTCAGAAAGGCATGACTGAGACTGAGGGCATAGTTCAGTGGCAAAGCACAAGGCGCTGGGTTCAGTCTCCAGTATCCCCCCACACACATTTATTCATGCACACAAAGGCACATAATTTAACATTATGGTTTATATCTGGAACTTTTCATTTAGTATTTGACCACAGTAACTCCGCTGTAGGAAGCAAAACTGTAACAGTGAGGGCTCACGTACACTTCATCCTGTCATCTGTCCCCTCACTCGCTCACGGCTGAAATCGCAGGCGTCTTCCCTCCTAAGCAGTATGTTCTCGAGTGCAGGGATGGAGTCTTCCCAGCAGCTCCCACACACTGCAGCGTCAGTGCCTCGCAAATCGGAGTCTGTTATAATGCTGACCTACTTTTTTTCAGGTCAATTTATACTTTAGTTCAAATGGCAGTCATCATCTTTGATCCTCACTAAAACAAGACTACAAATTCAGGCCCTTACTGTTTTCAGGGCCCGAGCACTCCACGCTGTTTGCCTTGCCTGGTCCTCTCCGTGCCTCCCAGGACTACGGGAGCAAACATGAGACCTATGGCATTCAACTTTAATCTTCTGGGAAAAGTTTTAGTAACTGTTATAAGATCCAGGGTAAAGATCAACAGACCAACACACATTTAAGTATAAATTTAAATTTAAGGATAAATGAGAGTACAGTAGCCCAATTCACCATTCAAAATATTAGTCACAGCCGCCACAGGCGCCACTGCTTATGCCTGATGTCCTGGCATGGTGTCGACAGATGCGGCCACACAGCTGCTCTCAACTCCCCCAGGTGCTTCAGTTCCAGAATGTTCTCAGTCTTCGCCCTGTTCATCTGGTGAAGGGTTTCTAGGGAGGCTCAGCAGGGTTTCAATCTTCTTAGCATCCTCCTGGGATTGATTTTTCTGTAAACTGCTTTCGATCTCTTCAGGGAGGAGTTCAGTGAGTTGTAATCTGGCTCTCCTGTAATCAAAGAAGTAAAAGTTCTCAGAGATTTAAAACAGAGAGGCAGTATCTGTCTTACTGTCCCTGTTTTCATGTGACAATGGAGGAGCAAACACTGCTCCCTACACTTCAAAGACAATGACTTTTTTTTTCTATCAGCACTCACGAGCTGCTATGGCTGAGACCCAAAAAGCTCTCCAAAAGGCTCACTGTATTGAAGGCTTGGCTGCCAAATGATGGACTGTGGGAAGTGACTGGGTAACCCATCAGTGAACTCACTGGCTGAATGGGCTGCTTAGCGGGTGGGGCCTAAGCAGAGGGCAGGTCCTTAAAAGTATGGCTTTGAAGGGTGTATTTTGTTTCCATCGCTTCCTTTCTGGCTTGCGCATTCTGTTTCCTAGCTGCCACTATGATGTTTCTGCCTTGATGTTGGCCTGAAAGTAATGGAAACCACAATCCAGAATAAATCTTTCTGCCTTTCTTCTCAGCTATTATGTCACAGGAATGGAAAGTTGACCAAGATACAAGCCAACCATAATCCCCACATTACCGAAATGGACACTATGATGATAGCAGGTCTGATCTCTAAAGATATTCCAGCATCCTAGGTCCCAGAGTGCTCACCAGGAGTGTAAGGAAGTGGACAGAGCCTGTGTAAGTCTCCAAACTGGACCAGCCTCTTGCCCTCTGAACTGGAGGAATGTGAGCACTCTGCCACTCTATAAGTTCTCACTCGACTTTACACAAACTGGACAAAAGCTGTTAACTGTGGTGACCCAGGAAGAGAAAAGTCAAGGACAACACTACAGATGTACATGAGTGAGAATCTAATTTCCAAATAGTAATCACTTCTTTTTCTAAATCAACTATTAGTACTGTGTCTTCCTTTCTGTAAGTGATTATCAGGGCTTTCTTCTGAATGCAACTCAACCAGATCTGACCACTTCTTCCTTCCATATCTCTATTACCAGTTTTCTGTATTTTCTGCTAAGTAAGGAAATTTTTGAATCTCTGATTTCCATGTATTATTTTCAAGCAATGCAGCAGATACATAGAAGGTACTTATACATGTATTGAACTAACTCTCCTTAGAAATAGCACATATATACAAATGCTACTCATCTGTAAAAGCTGTATCTTTTTAAAACACTATTTCCTTTTGCCAAAATATCCTTTCATTACTATACTGTGGTACCTTAGTTCACAAATGCACTGGTTTGGGGGCTGGGCATGTAGCTCAGTGGCTCAAGTACTTGCCTGGTAAGTGTGGGGTCGTGAGTTCAATCCCCAGTACAAAAAAAAAAAAAACAAAAAAACAAAGAAAAACCTACAAATGCTTTGGTTTGTGAACAATTTGGTTCACAAACAGAATCATTTGGCAAAATTTTGTTTTTGTTTGCAAATTCTGCATCAGGTGACTAACACAACTGCAGCCATCTTTTCCAGAATCATAGAACAAATTAAGTTCATGAACCAAGGCACCACTGTAATTAGTTACTGCTTTTACCCATTAAGGTTTTAAATCTCTAAATCACTAATCAACTTTTTATGTTTTCTCACTTTTTTATTAGAATAGTTATCATCTGTTTATATATTTCAAAATGTTAGATTCTTCCATCACCTCCTACATTAGAGACAAATAGCCAAATTTTTCCTTTTCTAATGTCTTTCTCAAAACTCCCTTATCAAAAAAGAAGTTTCTTATGATACCTACAAAACAAAAAATAAGCTGAGGCTTTTGTACTTTTAATTCTCCATAATATCCAATTTTGCGGGCTTTCGAAATTTTAAGTGCTCCATCCCAGACCCTAGATAACTGTGTGCTATGACCATGAAAACAATTATTGGGTGTCATGGTAAATTCTGTCCCACAGCAGCTGAAAAAAACTGAAGACTTGAAGTTAAGGAAAATAAGGTCACACAACTAATTCCCAGTCTAGCTGGGAGTAAAGCTCAGTTTTCAAGAATTTCACTGGCTCCAAAATCAAGGCTTTTTCTCTTCTAGCATTTAAGCCTGCAGACAACAGAATCATAAGTATTAAGAATTTCCATGTATGTCTGTGGGTTTAACACAAATAGAAGTTTCAAATAAGTCAATGGAAAAAATGATTACTTGTTTCCCCAGTTATCAAAATAACAGAAGCAGCAGCATCACAGGTACCAGGAAGCTGAACCATGAGAATCACTTCTCCGCAGCATGTACTAAGTATGCCAGACAGCAGCCTGTCCTGTTGATCTCACTCCGAATCTGCAGTCTACACTGGTCTCCTCACCCTTTCCCACCCAGGAAATGACCGGGTAGAACAGGCAGGAGCTTTCATGCTCTTCAGTGGCATCGCCTGCATGGACAGCCCCTGCAGCCGCCTCACTCCTCTCAGTCTGGCAGGAAGTAGACCTCATGAATGTAGAGACAGTGTGCGTGCTCTGTGTTGTGTCAGCAACGCAGGGTGTTATGGTTTGCGTCCAGATGTCCCCAAAGCCACATGGAGTCAAAGGGGGTTTTTCAGAGGTGGCTAACTCTAGCGTATGTGATGATGGGATTAAGGGTGGTGATTATTAAATCAATGGCTTGGCACGTCCTAACCCTGGTTGTGTGGATAAGATAAGAGGGGCAGACAGAGGCTTGTCTGCCCTTTGTTGTTTTCGCTGTCTTCCGCTGCCCCTGTGCCATGTGCCACTCTGCCTTGGGCCCAGGCAATGTGGGCAGAAACTTCTATAAACTGAGCTAAATAAGCCTTTCCCCCTTCAACTCTGGGTGTCAGGTATTTTGTCTCAGCAATAAGAAAAGTAACTAAGACACAGGAGACAGCAGTCTTTTTACACAAGACAAGTAAAGTTCACTTCTTGGTGTATGTTCCCTTTTGGTAATTTCCTATGCAGTTAAGAACACAGGAAAAGAAAAAAAAAAAATCAATGAAGTACATTTACAGCATTTTAACTTTTTTTAAAAAAGAGTCTAAACAAAGATCCTCATAACATTAAAAATAAAGTTAGCCCCTCCTAATTCTCCTTAATTAAACAGACCAGGAGACAGGAAGGGTTTGAGTGAAAGAGATTCAGTCCAAACAGACTTTCTCTCAACCGAGTGGCAGTCTGGAGCACACGCTCAGGACAGCGTGGCACTCAGGCTGCGCTGGGACAGTCATCTTCACAGCTCCTTACCACTCCTGCAGCTTCTGCTCATGGAGGGCCTGGCGATCCTTCTGCTTCCTCTCCTGAACTGTCTCGCCGTGGTACTTCTGAAGCACCATCAACAGGCTTCCCACAGGGGTGCTGCGGGGAAGAGGAGGCAGGCTTAGGAGAGGCAAGTCCCTGTGACTGTGAACATCTGGCCGGCCCAACACCACGGAGCCCCCGTTCACCATCAGACACAGGACGTTCTAGTGAGTGAAAAGTAACACTGAGACGATCCCCCTGCTAGCCCAACGAACACAAATAGTCACGCACTAACATCAGCTGAAATTAAAAAAGAAGAGAATCTACAAATTGACTTTTTAAAAGAATCATGAATGAGAAACAAACCAGGGCACAGCGGGAGTACATACATTCATGATCACATCTAGGAAGCGGGTCCAAATGGAAGCCTTCACAGAAATGCAGCTACTAACTAGTTCACAGTGGTACCAGTGTCTAGGGGACAGGAAATGCAGACGGCATATTTCAGGGGACAAATGCAGTCAGCTCTGGGGGAGGAGGAAGAAGCTACCAAAACATCCCCCAAATCAAGACTTTGGCAGAACTGTCTCAGTTACAAAGTCAACAATTACACACTGAGGAACTAATTTATATGGTAATTGTTACAGTGATGGGGAAAATTTGTTTCTTGGCCTCTCAAAGAGAAAGAGTTTTTGACTTTGGTGTATCTTAAATTTTCTTCAGCTACCACCTAAGTAATTTGATTTTAAAAACAATTTTTGCTAAGTGGAATCAACTCATATACTCATCCACAAAAAATGTGTATTAGTTGGACATAATGGCGGATACCTATAATCCCAGCACTCAGGAAGCTGACACAGGATTGAAACTTAGAGACTACTCTGGTCTACACAGCACACTGAAAACCAGCCTAAATATGCAGTAAGACCCTGTCTTGAAAACCCAAAAAACAAAGACGTAAGTAAATAAATAAGCAAACAAAGAATACAAACCAGCTTCCTCAGGCAGAGTGGAAGCAGCAAATTTAGTGTGTGAAGTAAAGGTTCAAGGTGCTGCTTGTGGCTTGAACACAGCTGGGTTCCCCAGCAAGGAACGTGGGTGGCCTCTAGGGACAGAGCTCCCAGCCTGGTTGACGGCAAGAAAGGAAGCAGGGACCTGAGACCAGAATCCCACCAAACGGATCTGTCAACAGCTTAAGTGTGCTGGAAGTGGATTCCACTCTCGAGCCTCTGGGTCAGAAGCAGGCTGATCAGAACCGCCGTACTTTGGACCTCAAAGAACCCTGAGCGCAGAACCTATCTGCACCACCCAGACTTCTGATTTACAGAGCTGCAGGCTAATAAATGGGGGTTGTTGCAAGCTACTCAATTCAGTGTGACTTGTTAGACAGTGATATAAAACCAAGATGACAAATACTTAAGCATTACTTGTAATGGATGATGTAATGTGATTCCTCATGTCACATGCTGAAAGCATGACTTCTGCTCTGCTAACATTCCTAATAAGAACATTTAACCTAAATGTAATCATGCGGAGACAATCAAATATAATTGAGGCATATCCCAGGCATTTTTGTAAGTCAGTAATTTTGAATATGAACCCTATGTTAAGAGCATTATATTGAATCAGGGGCTGGGGATTTAGCTCAGTGGGATAAGTGCCTGCCTTGCAAGCAGGCAGTCGTGAGTTCGATCCCCAGTACCGATAAAAAGGAAAAAGACAAAAAAAAAAAAAGAGCATTATATTGAATCAGTTAAATTATTTACTGTGATAATTGTGAGTAAAATAAACAATTAGGATAAAAGTATAACCAGATAGCCAATGCTACTGCCAACGTAAAAGTAAAGGTCTTTTACATGCTCTCAGGATTAAATTTGCTTTTTGGAAATGAAAAAAACAAAGCAAAAGAATGGGGGGGCAGGGATTTAGCTCAGTGGCATAAGTGCCTACCTGGCAAGCGTCAGGTCGTGAGTTCAATCCCTGGTACCAAAAAAAAAAAAAAAAATTTTTTTTTTTTTTAAGTACTGGGGGTTGAACCCAAAGCCTCTGCAGGATACTACACTCCCAGCCCTTTAGCTCCTATGGAGACTGGGTCTCACTAAGTTGCCCAGGCTAGGCTCAAACTGGTGATCTTCCTGTCAGCCTGGCAGAGTTACTGGGGTTACAGGTGTGCACCACACGGGAAGAATGATATTTTTAATAGGCAAGGTATTAATAAATGTACCAATTTGGAACCAAATCATGTTGATACTTACCCCAACAAGGCTCCAATTATACCACCAGCCACTAGGCCACGCATGCCTAAGTTTATTCTGAAAAGACTTCCTGTGACAGCTATTTGAAAAGAAAAAGGTAGTATTAAACCATCTTTAAGCACTAGAATTCCATTTAAAATTTCTCTTCTAATACAACACAGCTCTGCTAAGTGAGATGTCTGAACCCAGCAGTAACACATCACACACCCCGGCTTTCCTGACTCTATAGAGCCCATACAGGTAGCTTCCTACCTGCCCTGCAGACTCAAGGAGGAAACCCTCCTTTCTAAAAGCCAAGCTCTTCTCCCTCTGCTTCATTTTTATCCACTTCCCCTTAAATACCTGCAGTTGTTTTCATTCTACTTCTTTCAAGTCTTCCCTTTTCAAGGAAAGCTTCCCCCCAAAATACAACACAAGGCTTCATTTGACCCAGGGGTTTCCTGTGCTATTTTGCTCTCACGCTGGTCTGCAGAACAGGATTTTGCCACCTGGTGGCTGGAGAGGGGACGCAACTCTGCCTTTCCACTGAGACTTCATCCAGTTTCCTCTCTGTGCACAATGCAACTAATGCCACTGCGGGGAGGGGGAACAACACATTTTTTAAAGAACATTTGAAGACAAAAAATAACATTTGGGTTACATATTTTTCTTCAAGTATTATATATTCATTTTTAGAATTTTCTAAATTAACAAGAACAAAAAACACCTCAAAAATACAGGTCTTTGCTTTTAAAAAATTTTTGGAAAAATGGGGGATGTACCTATTAAATATTTTTTCTCTGAATGTATCATTAAATTTTGTAACACTAAATTTTCTCCCAGATGAGTCTATTGCCTAAATGTAATTTTATTCAATATATATTTTTATTTATGAATGTTATAAAGGTGTAATGCTAACTCTTGCACTTGAATCTTTGTACATTTGATTGTCTCTTTAGAGCAAATTCATAGAAATGGCATTTCTGGCACAAATGGTATGAACATTTTCAAGGCTCTAATTTTAAACATTACCAGGCTGCTATTTAAAAAAAAAAATACTGCATTAAATTACTTTCCCATTAAAAGCATACAAGAGGGCGGAGGTTTAGCTCAGTGGCACAAGCACTTGCCTAGCAAGCACAAGGTAGTGAGTGTGATCCCTGGTACCAAAAAAAAAAAAAAAAGTTCGCAACTGCACTTTTAGTTTCCCATTTCCAATGCAACAGGACAAATGATACCTAGTTTGTGTTTCTCTGACTCGACGACAAAGGCAAACTCATTTTATTTCAAAGAGAAAAACAAGATAAAAATAAATGCAATTGTTCTCCCCCAAGACTACAAGTTACCTGTGCCACTGTGTTTCCCTGAAACTAAGACCTATGTGAACATAACGGGCCTTAAAAACTAGAGACCAAAAAGCCAGTCACCAGCCCTTGCCTGGACCAGCCATCACTGTTCTCTGGCATGGTGGCTATCTGCAAAGCAAAGACGGGCTGACTGGGGCTGGCATTTTTTATCTTTCCAGGGAAAGTATGAATTCCGATTCAGAGACCTTTATAGATAGATATTATATACATATATGATTGGTTTTTTTAAACAGTACTGATGGTTGAATGTCAGGCTTTGAGCAAGCTAGGCAAGCGGTCTGTCACTGAGCTACACCCTCAGCCAACAACCTCCTCCTTTTATGAGACACAATTTAAGTGGCCCTGTAATTGCAATCCTCCTGCCTCAGTCTCCTGTGCAGCTGGAATTACACTACCATGCCTAGCTATATAGGGTTTTTACTGATTACCTGCACACATTACATTTAATGTGCATAATATTTAATATCTTGTGTAGCACTCATGACATAGATAAGTTAAAATTTTTTGAGGCTAAGCCTAATAATTTCCTATATAGCTTAATTTGGGGTTTGAAAATAGACATGTATATATACACACATTTAATGTCTTCCCACTCAGAAGTCTGATACATCTACTAGTATTTTGTAGATTTTAACACAAGCACTTTAATTAGTCTTATTTTGTTGTATTGGATATGGCTATAATTTTCCAGGCAGTCAATAACTGTTTCAGCCTGTAACTTTCAATTCTTGGTTGTATTCCTGATCATTGAAGTCTAGCCTACAGCTGTCAATACCCTCATTGTTCTAGTTAACATAATTTCACATGCATTTTAGCTTCTGGCAGGTCAAGATGCTCTCATTGTTTATGATTTGAATTGCCTTCAATTTATAAAGTAGAACAATATTGAGTTAACTATAAGTTTTCCCTATTTTTATTATTCTTTTGTAACTAATTTTCTTCATAGAAGTAGAACACTTACTAAATGTATGTTCAACCTTATTCCTTTTTTTTTTGGTACTAGGGATCGAACTCACAACCTTGCACTTGCCAGGGAGGCACTTACCCTACTGAGCTAAATCCCCAGCCCATTCTTATTACTCTTATAGAAATAACTTTTTCAAAGAATTTTTGGAATATGAAAGGCCTGTTTCTATATTTACATTTTACTGATTAGTATTAATGATTTTACAAGCAACCTTTTAAAATATTACCTGTAAACACAATTTTGTTTACTCCTTTCTGAAGTGTTGTCTTTCTCTCTCCTGAGTTGATGTAATTTTAGGTTTTTTCAAGGTATAATTACATACCACAAGGTTGATTTAAATGTATAATTCGGTGATTTTTAGTAAGAAGATTTAATTGCAGTTACTGTGCAATCACTATCACAATTCAATTCTCGAGTATTTCCATCCTGACAAGAAGATCGATCCCTGGTGACCATCTGCAGTTACTCCTGGTTCCCACCTGCATCACTAATGTGTCCTGTCCCACTGAAAAAGGTGCCTGTTCTGGACATTTTATATGACTGGATTCCCCTTATCATCTTTTGTGCCTGGCTTCTTTCCCTTAACAAGGTTTTTAAGGTTTATTTATGTGGTAGCACCTATTAGTTTGGTTCCTTTTTACCAAACTAATCATGAAACCATGAAAATATCCCATGACTGCATATACCACAGCACATTTAGTAGCCAAAAACATGAGATGTTTCCAATTTAGGCTATTGAGGGTAATGCTACTACAAAAATGCACAGGTAAGGCTGGGGATTTAGCTCAGTGATATGGGTGCCTGCCTCCCTGCCTGGCAAGTGCAAGGTCATGAATTTAACCCCTGGTTCCAAAAAAAAAAAAAAAAAAATTCACATATAAATCTTTGTGTGAACATATTTTCATTTCTCTTGAGTGATCCTTAGCCAAATTATGCCTAATTGTTTAAGGAGCTGCAAATTATTCCAAAGTGACTGCAGCAGTTCACACTTCCACCAATGATGCACAAAGGATGCAGTTTCGCTGCATCTCCTTCAATGATTGTTCTAGTGAACACAAGAGGTACCTCACGAGGCTTAATTTAATATTCCTAATGACTAATGATGGCAAACATCTCTTCATTTGCTTAGTGGACACTCAAATAGCTTCCATACTGAAATGTCTATTGAAACTTTTTGCCAGTATTTAACTGGGTTGTCTTCCTGTTAGAGTTCCTTCTATACGCTAGGTGCAAGTCTTTTTTTTCAAATATTTTCTCTTGGTCTAGCTTATTGTTACATTTTCTAAATAATGCGTTTTATTGAAATGTAAAATATAAATATTTTGATGAAATCCAACTTATTGACCTTATTAAATGGCTAACCCAAAGATCACAAAAATTTATTCTTGTATTTCTTTCCACAAGTTTATAGTCTTGGCTAATATATTTAGATCTTTGCATGTTCTGAGTTAATTTTACATACAGCAGGAGGGAATGGTCAAAGTTTACCTCTTGTGCTTCAGCACTATTTCATCAGAAGACCACCCTCCCTAATCCTTTTGCTAGTTAAATTGCTCTGGCACCTTTTGGGAGACCACCTTATCACAAGCACAAGAACAGATTTCTGAACTCTTTCTGTTGCACTCATTTATGCATCTATCTTAGGCCAAAACCATAGTGCCTCGATTATTATTTTTTTTTAAATCGGGCTTGGTATCCTTTGAGATTATTATCGTTTTGTAGTCACGTTTTTTGGGGGTTTTTTTGTCTGGGGATTGAACTCACAGCCTCATGCTTGCCAGGCAGTGCTTATGCCACTGAGGTAAATTACCGGCCATGAATTAAGTTTTGAAATTGGGAAGTTCACAGGGATTTAGCTCAGCAGTATAAGCGCCTGCCTGTCAAGTGCAAGGTTTTGAGTTCAATACCCGGTACTCAAAAAAAAAAAAAAAAAAGAAAGAAAGAAAGAAAAGAAAAGAAATTGGGAAGTTCACATCCCATTTTTTGTTTTTCAAAATTATTTTGACTATCTTTTTTCTCTAAATAAATTACAGAATCAACCTGTGAACTTCTGCAAACAATATTTTAAGTCAGCTGAGATTTTGATGGGTACTCATCTATGTTTGAGAGCTGCCCTTTAATAATTTTGAATCTTCATATTCATTAAAATGCAATCATTCCTCGTTTTTTTTAATGTTTCATAATTTTCTGTATACAAATCTTGCATTTCTTTAGTTGAAAGTATCAATTATATTCCTTTTGACGTTATTTGAGATAAAATCTTAATTTCATTTTCAGATTGTTCTTTGCAATTATAGTGGCTAATTTTCTTGAGACCTCACTGAATTTGTTACTGGATTTCTGGATTCATTACCATTTTCTACACATACAGGTGTTATGACCACTTCATAGAGAATTAAGTCTCCTCACACAAAATCTGGATCAGGTAACTTGCAATACGAAGTTATGAAAAGGCTTATTACCCATAAAAGCTTACTGGGGAGAGCAAAGCAGGTACTCAAACATATCCAAGTACGGTGGGAAGCAGCCAGATAACTGGCTTGGGCTTTTACTGCGGTCAGAAGGAGGGGCTAGAGCGAGGAGTCCACACACACAGAACCTGGATGGTGACATCAGTAAAGGAACCCCTTCGCACTTGGGCTTTTTTATCAGCTGGTCAAGATGCAGGTTAACAAGGAAAGGGGACACTGCTAGTTTGTGGCCTGATACATAAGCTTAGCTTACTCATTCTACCTAAAAAGTAAAAAGCTGAACAAACCAAAAACA